CAAAACCTGTGGGCAGCCATCGTCGCCATGGTGGGTTTGGTGTACGTGGCAGCTAAGGAATTTTTAACCAAATAAGGCCCAACCCGACAGCAACCCCACCAACCACCAGGGCTGTTTTACTATCGATGTGCTGCTCCAGAACGTGCGGGGCCACCCCCACAGGGGGTGTTGGTTGAACCCTAGGCTCCGGGGGTGGTGCCACTATACCTGTTTCACCGGTCGTGGGTGGTGGGACGTGGGGGATGTTGACATCGAGGTTGACGCCCAACTTTTGGTCCGTCGTGGCTATAACTATTTCGTTGTTGTAGCCCACTACTTTTTTTACTCTCAGTTGCATATCACTCGGAGCCATGTACAGTCCCACATCGAAGATGTAGTCGACTTTCGACCTGGCATATTCCAACACGTCTTGGTAGCGTTTGATGGCACTCGGGAGATCAACTGGAGCATTGATAGCATCCTCAACGTTGACAACGAACTGTTTCTGAGCGTCGTAAGCAGTCCCCTTACCGATAATACTGGAACGCGTTTGCGTCTGCGCACCCAACAGCGCCCACACGTACGTTCGAATCGAGTCGTTTAACCTGATTACCCCGGCACGAGTGAACCCTTTCGATGTGTCCAGCATGAACTTTTTCCAGTCATCCGCTGCCCTTCCCTGATCAAACCTCCAGACTCGGTAATCCTTGCTGTCATTGAAAGCCATGTAACGGTCATCCCACTCGTTGGTTGTTAGATGATGATACGACTTGTATCCCCATTCTTTCAACTTCTCGCTGGCTTCAACGAGGGGCATTTGGTGAACGATGGGGATACCCAACCCGTGGTTCGACCCCGGCAAACGCCAATCCGTCTTCGGGTTTAGTTCGAATTCGTTGCAAATACGTTCGTAGGCCCGTCTATCGTACTTGTTGTTTACTGCGTTCCACGCCTTGTCCTGTGGGAGCGGGACGCTGATTTCTTTAAGGATACGCCTGACCTGGTAGTACACGTGGAACTTGAACACAGACTGACTCAGCGGTCCACGCCGTGTGTCAATGTCACACCACACCCCGTTGTAGCGCTCCACACGGCGAAGTTGAGTTGATTCTGCCAGAACTGCATCGGGTTGTTGAACCAAGCATGAACGACCTTAGCGTTAGTCACTGAAAATTTATACAGGCTGAACACATCTAAAAGCTGGGAGTCGAAATGTGCCCCATTAGCGACCACGATCTTCATGGGTGAGAAATCTACGTCCAGTTTAGGGTAAAACACTCCAGGGGAGTAAGACACTCCTTGAGAGGATGCTCCTCTTTGAGAGTACATTTTAAAACTATTATATAATGAGCATATATACTCTAACATGTACATAACACTTCCAGGAATAACGAGCGGTGAGGCCGTTCAGCTGACGCACGCGATCGATAATACGTCCAGTCAACTCGAAGTCGCACTCTGTGATATCACCTACCTACCACAATGGACTAACATCAACGCTAGCAACAATAAGCTGTCCGTTAGTGGCACCCGCAATCAGATAACTGAAGGCTACTACAGCGTGTGCTCTCTAAGCGACGAGGTCTTCAAACCATTGGGAGCCGAACTCAAGATGAACGACTCAAACGGTATAGTGGTGTTAATCAACAACGGAATAAACCCCTTAAAACTCAGCCGGCCATTGGCGAGGACACTCGGTATATCACCTGATGAGATAAAACCAACAACAACCGTCACAGGTACGAAGTTACCCGACCTAGTACCGTACCGAGAGCTGTGCATTCATCTCAGTCAGGTTAGCACAACGGACAACATTCAAGGGGGTCACCCTTCCACTATACTGAGAGCCGTACCGGTGAAAACGGAGAAATACAACGACGGTAGAACCGAGTCGTTTTCACCGCGGCAGTATAAGAGGTTAACCCAGGGCAACATCCCTGAGCTGATAATATCGGTGTTAGATATAAATCATAATCTCGTGAATATAGGATACCTCAGCGTAACGCTGCACATAAAATGACCAGCGCACAAGGGCCCGGGGTGAAAAAATGCGTCAATGCGGGGATCTCCGACCTCGGGGACACACGCGGTTTCGACGCTCCCGGAGTAGATGGTAAATTGTACGCCTTGCAACTGAAAAACAACATTTACAAACGCGTTGAAGTCCCCTCCGGTGGAGCCCTAAGTGATATAGTAGATACCGCAAGAGCGGTTGTCAACACTAAGTACACCCTTGTCAACACCGGCGATGATAACTGGATAATATACCCATCATTCGGGGGCAAACTGTTCGACTTAGACGATGTTGAGAGCACTACCGTCGCCCGAAACACGCCATATACACTCGTCTTCACCGAAGATGACAAGTGGGTGTTGTTACCTGATAAAGACGACTGGTTTCTCAATATTAGGCTCGGCTCCCCCTACATGTTCACTGATAACAAAGACAACCACCTAAACAAAGTCGTTAACAACGGAACCCTGCTCGTGGCTTACGTCCCGACTCAGAGACGTAGCGTAGCCATCAGCCCAGTCGCCAGTATGGCGGCCCATATGCTATCGAGTAAACCGAACATGCAAAACGTTACATTGCAGTTGGTGTCTGAATTCGAAGGCGTGGTCAGGATACTGGAGAGTCTACCAGCAAACTCAACACTGATCATCAAAGTCTACCTAGGGGAACCATCGCGGGGTGATGTCGAGATTGTGAAGGGGATCAAACTCAGGTGGGTGAAACGACACCAGTATCACGTTTGCAACGTTTACGTGCGGGTGGGTGTCGGCTCCAACACCAGTCTGCAGGGAGTCAACGTGATCGTGGAAAACACGATATCACTAACCAAGATCTTCCTACCCGACAACATACACTTCATGGGGATGAAGTTCACCCCTGAACTATTATCAGAAAACCAGTTGGAAATTATCTCGTAATAGTATTATAGCAATGACCAGTCATCGCCCCAACACTACGCTTAACGACCTAGGGGACATGGAGGGATTCGATCAGCCTGGTGAGGAAGGTGGCTCATACATCCTACACTTAAAAGACAACGTGTATAGGCGGGCAGCAATAGCCGATCATCTACCCAAACTCACACTCATGGACCTAGAGGGATTCGATCAGCCTGGTAAGAAAGGTAGCTTATACATCCTACAATCAATAGGTGATGGGTACGTGCGGAGGCTCCTGCCAGACGACTTTATGAGAAGTCTGCACAACCACTTTATAGAGTCCAAATGTTTGCTCAACATAACCCTCACCACACCTTACGTCTCTTTTCGTGATGTTTTTGATGATATCACTGAAATTAAGAACAGCGGTATCACGTTCGGGGGGTTTCAACCCGACGGTCTTATAAAGATTAGAATTTCCCCAATCCCCAATCACCCTGGTTATATGTTAGATGCACCCGAGTATGCACAGTTATCATTTAAGGGACACTCTTACCTACAACCTCCTAGGGTGATGTCCCCAGGCTCCACATTAATCGCAATACTTTTTAAAAGCACCCATGGGACTGTCTCATGGGCCCTTGTATCTGGGGTGGAAATAAGCATATCTGAAACCGAATATAAAGACCGCTATTGTAGTATCGTTATACAAATGGACTCGGGGCCTGGTAAGGGGTTTCTGCCCCCCTTAACGAGCAACAGGACGTTTAGTGTAAGTCTCCAAAGAGACCCTGTTCGCCTTTCCCCTATTGGCATACCCGAGAACGTTGGCCTTGTAAAATTCCAGTACGTTGAGCAACTATTAACTGATACCCAATTAAAAAATATTTTCCCAGATATATTATAGGCACACAGGATGGGGCTGTACCCAGTCATAAAGGAAGTAGCGAAGACCCTGGAAACCGTAGACGGGTTCCGCTTGAGGCAGTTATGTGATGTAAAACGTCAACTAGAGCAAGACCGCGACACACGTAAAGCACTATGTAAAAAGTACCATAGAGCTTTCAATATCGTGGACGGGGCTGATACTACCCTTATGGTAACCAGCATGGGACTAGGGGCGGCAGGTGTTGGGTTGTTAGCTACCATCGTGGCTGCACCTATAGTGCTAGGCATTGAAATAACAGCTGGGGTGGCAGGGGGGTGTTAGGGTTGGCGCTTAAGTTGGCATCACGCAGACTGCATCGTAAGGCATTGAAACATGATGGGATCAGGGTTCTGGCAGAAGCAAAGCTGAACACAGTAAGTGAGCGTATTTCCACTGCACTCACTGACAGTAAGATCTCAGAGGAGGAATTTCGTTCAATCCTCTCTGAACTCACAAAATATAATGAAATGAAACAAGAGATTCGGTCCAAGTCTCGTAAGTCTGCTATCAGCGAGGATGATAAAAAAAAGTACATAGAACAAGGTGTGAAAAAAGCCCGGCAAGCCTTTATTACAAACACCAAAGAGATCATAGGCGATTCACATTAAACTGTTTCATCGAGGTAAACATGGCATAGTGTCATAGCGACCAGCCCAGTATTGGATGATGCAATACCCGTTAAACCAACATACTTCAATCATGTCCCCGGTAGCTCAGTCGGTTAAGTGGTGCGGTTAAGAGGTATAACATTGGGCGTTCGTATCCCGCTAGCGTCTCAAACTTTTTCATAGTAGGGGAAATGGTAGCAAGAGCTAAGGGTCCGACAAAAGCCTTATTTGGTAAATAAGGCTTTGCAGAGGCTTTTGTTGGAACTGGTCCCGGACTGTCTTTCTCTCTACTACTTTTGAAGTTATTGAACTTGGGCTTTACTCCATTACGTCACTTAAACCCATTAAATATTGACTGTTGGTGAGATTTTATCAATAATAACATTGACATGATTTATTTCCAAACCTAATTGTATTAAATGGCATGGTTTCACCCGATGAAGGAGTAAGAAAATACACCGAAACGTCGTGCCCGTCACATGAAAAAAAAAGTTGACATCCATAAAATTATTGTCTTTATTTGTATCGCTTATAAATGCCCTTCAAAGACGCTAATTGTATTGTTAAAAATATTTGTTTTGTAAATAACACAGAGTATTGTTGACTGCAAGAGCGCCAAAGCTAATGCCCCAAGGGGAGCTAACTGTTACTGCACGCCAGCCAAAGGCTGCTACCATCGTCACTTCCAAGTAAAGCCCATCGTAGTAGACAGCAGTCGCCGACGTGGAGGAATATTCAGCAACAAAAACAAGGGTTCTCACGACTCTGACTACTATCTAGAGGTCACTGTAACAAACCACGCCAAACTAACAACAAAGGTGGAGTTTAAAGTAAGTGAAACTTTCGTATAATTCATTGAAATCTCTTCTGTGCATTGTATACCGGTATACATGATTTCCTGCTGATCAATATACACGTGATCTGTTGCATAACATGCCGTTCAACGATCTTGTTCAGGTGACAATAGATGCAAGTCCCCCTCATCCTGGTGTGGCTCACGAGGGTCAGTTGGGGAACCCGGAAGTGGACTACCAGCAGCACCTCCAACTCTCCAGCCACTGGGACGGATTCTTTGACAAAGAGAGCGGAGTCAAATTCTACCAATATAAATTTGGGTCTCACTGTCTCTCAGCGAATGAATTTGGAGCTGATAGGTCTTTAGTCGAGGTAAAGAACCCCATTACAAATCCACCAAGTAACATTTCCTTAACTTGCAGATGTCATATATTGAATGCTACGAATGTAGATTTTTCAACATTGTTTTCAATCATGCAACTTTGAAATGATTAAACTGGGGGTATAAACGATAAAATAATGTTTCCTCTCCATGTAAAAATCACACATATCTGTCTAAATATTTCGGATCATTCACTCATGACACGCAGGTCACGGAAACCTATTCCACATCCGCCTCCTGGACAGCGCCCTCTGTCGGCAAGTATCACGTGACAGTGGTGGCCTTCAACCGAGCACTGGAAGCATCTGACCCAGTGTGTTCTGACGGAGTGACTGTAGACACAACACCACCCAGTGTCAGTGAGGTGGCAGTGAGAGACTCCAGGGTGATGGAGGGACTGGCCAAGTCATCAGATAACGTTGTGTGGTACATCGACGCCCACAGAAGACGTACCCTGGTGGTCAGTCCAGATGACAGTTGCAGGTACAAAAACAGTTTACTGAAAAATAGATTTCCGCGATACGTGACTGTATTTCTCCTAATAAGCGGATAAAAGAGATCATTTTCACATGGTTCCATAGTTTCTGAAATTGTTTTGGAGGTTAAGAAGCATTATTTTTGTAAGTAGCATCACTGGCAGACATAATGGAGATATCACACGATCGTACAATCATTTGTGGATTATGGGTGGGATAACCAATCTTTACGAAGTCACGCAATATGCCAATGTCAATATCGAATAAGCTGGTCCAGACCTCGGATGGAATGTGTTATGGTACTATTTTGGATATTGTTTTCAGCTGATGATACTGTAATTTACATGTGGAACACTGTTGTCGCTATTATTAAGGAAACGATATTTCGCACTGAATGGATGTGTGTATTTTTTGTTCCCGGGATAGTTTTCTTTTCCGATATCCGAAAAGTTTTGTGCGTGCCAAAAGTGGATAGCGATTTGAAGCGTACCCTCATGATTAGCCAAGACGTTGCTCCGTTGCTCGATACAATTCAATCGAAATTAAATGGATAGTTGGAAACACTGATAACTCTAACCTCTTTTATCTAACTTAAACCATTATCATCATAATGAATAATCACGAAAATACTGTGTCCGATTCTCTTGAATGCATACAATGGGTATGATATACATACATCACGTGATCGTGTCTCCAGTTCCAAGGCCACGCCAGTAGATGACAAGAGACTGTCCCTGTTTCCAATACATCGGTACAACAATGGAAGTGGGATGCAGCTTTACAATCCTGAGTGTGAATCTTTACTAGCATTGCCTGTCAGCTTCACCAACTTACTCTATGTCTACAGGGAACACCACGTGAGTACCTTATGTCCTCAGGCAGATTGTCATAAACTACCAACATGAACACCACTTCTGTGCTTTGTTATGACTCATTATGTGTTAAACTTAACAATGTTTTGCCCTGCTTCTCATATCAGTGTTTGATTATTTCTGCACGGTAACAATGTTTTAGCTGTATTTCAGTTCTGATTGTGATTACTTTTCGGTAATTTCTAAACTGTGCACTGCTTGAGTGTTTGCTTATTTCCCAGCTCTTCGTAAACTGGACTGGCAGTGACACTGAGAGTGGTATCTATGACTACGAGCTGGGGCTGATGTCAGATCCTTCTGGTGAAGCAGCTCCAGATATCCTGCCCTATACGTCCACCCATCATCATCCTCAGTATCAGGGCTACCATCCTCGTCTCAGTGAAGGGCAACAGTTCTACATCGCCATCAAGGCCATCAACAAAGCTGGCATCTCAACTGTCAGAGTAAGGGCACACTCAATCGTTTACATTTCATAATTCTGTCCGATGAAATCGTATATGTTTGGAATCATCTGAACATTGTTTTTTCATCATGGGTGGTGGGACCAGTAATGGTACACACAACGTATCCTATATATTCTGGACCAATGACCGTAATGCTGAAGGAAAATTACCTGATTGCACGTTGGACCGAGACAGCATTCATCGTCACTGAACATGCAAAATACGAAGTTGCAATCGGTATGTACGATCATTACCAACATCAAAACAAGCACATCATATCTGATATCTGTAAGACTATGTTAAAACTATTATGTTATCAGGATCTGAAGGCGGTCAGTCGACAATAAGCCCCTTCACGACGCTGAAGTCAGGAGGAGGTTGTACACTGACGTCGCCACCCACGTGTACAGCCGTCGCCCTCACAGACCTCCACTGGGACCTCCATCACAGCCACACCTACTTTGTGTCAGTCAGAGTCACCAACATAGTAGGACTTTCTACAGTGGCAGTATCTGAGCCCTACGTCCATGACGTCATGCCGCCGTTACGTGGTGTAGTAGAAGACGTCATTCCAGCTGGAGAAGAATCTTTGCTTGAAATAAATGTATGTTCATAACTCGATTCAGCGCTCAGTGGGGAACCTAGGTTACAATAGTTCATAAACGAACCGAAACTTGGTCGTCAGTGCGACTTGATGAATAGAGTCGAATGTAACTATTTGCATTGTCTGTTTGAGACTTGACAATTTACATCATGTTAGGAGGATAACTGTCGAATGCGGAATTTGAAATTAAGCAAGCAAACGTTGTGCCCAGCGTTGACGTCCCCAGACACATATACTGGACTCATTATCAACTTATAACATTACAAGAACAACCCATTCCCCATCACTACGTCTCCGGTGTATTCCAAATATAATCACAAACAGCATAAAACGAATAAGCACACATTTCGTGCGGATAAATACCATCAATATTGATGGCTCAAATTGAGTTGACGACCTGTCACTGACGTGTCAAAGTCTAACATGATCTCCCACCCTCCTTCTTACAGGATTTGCATGGTCCACATGAAATATCCTGGATGTATTGAGCCAGCTGTTTGTTCCAAAACTTTTCCTATCCTGCTCACGACAGCTATAATGTTAGCATTTATTACCCATACTTGTTGTGAAGACTATAGTATGTCCTTTTGATAAATACTTCAAAACACTATAAAATGGTCTTATGTTGATGGCACGTAAGTGTAGATACAGAAACCATGAATACTGTTCATCTTTGTTTACAATTTCTTTTGCTATCACTTACGATCGGACATGAGCGTTTCAAGAGATGGATGTTCATACAGTGTGTCTTCTTGTTGTCCTACTTCAGTGTAGAAACAACGACGTGTCCTAGAAATACAGATCTACCAGGATTGGTATCAATTTGCAGTTCTTAAATAAAAATTTTCAGAGTATTCCTGACACAGACCATCAAACATCAACAACAACTCTAAGAGCCAGATGGTATGGATTCGTTAATGGTGTTGAAAATGTTACATACAAAGTCGGAATCGGATCTCATCGTCTCGGATCAGATGTCAATGAGCTGATGGAAGTTGGCCAGGTTTTACAGCATGAGTTTACTGGCCTACATTTGCACGAACATCAGGTTTGTAATCTTATCAGAAACTTTATTCACGTATACATCTTTACAATATCTATACATTCGAATGCATGCAATTTGTTGTTTATTACAGAAGTATTTTATGACTGTCGTGGCTGCCACTGGTGCAGGAGAGATGACGGTGTCCTCTGACGGTGTGACGGTTGTCAGGCCAAACGCTGATGTCACAGATGCCACTATCAGAGATGGACCAGGATGCCGGAATTCTGGTATACAAAGGAATTACTAGTTGTCCCATATACATGCTAATCGGGTCTGACATGTCTTATGACGCGTCCAGCTTTATTAACGACTCGGCCACTTCGTTTTATTCAACACTACAATATCATGGTGTGGTTCAGACCTTGAACGTTCATTATTATAGTGAAATCTACGAACATGGGCTCCATGCTGACAAATCTTTACAATTTTATCAGGGGACAGTGAGATTTTCAAACACAGTAATTACTTCTGACGCAGCTCTTCAGATCCAATTACAAGGCATTCATAGGTTGTATTTCATTTCACTATGCTGTCCCACTAAACCAGCCCAACACGTTTTCCTGTTCTATTTACAGGACAGGATGCTGACTTAAATAGAACGGACATCGAGGTATGTGTGAATAGGACACACTGATATGTAGTACACGTGTTACATAGTACATTCACTGTTAATAGTTGCAGATGCAGAGATGATAACAATGACTCACATCTAATCAATTCCAGGATTGTGCCCGTGACCTGAGATTCCAAATCTCTACCTCAGCATATGCTGCCCACTGGAATAGGAGCGTCAGTAGTAGCCTGAACTACCAGGATGTACACTGGGGGTTACAAATACGATCTCCCTTTGCAGGTAGACCAGCAAAAGATGCACTTAGTGTTTAAAATGGAATGAAGGGAGCTGGAGGTTTTACCAGTCATGAAAACACAAATGGAAACACAGGCTATCACTTTTCAAGGTTAAATGTCGCTTTTTGAATGTGGGAGATGTAGAATATGTCATAGAAAATGTGTATGCTCCATGAACGGCCAAGGCGATTCGCGCCTTTAGGCCACATTAAACAAAGGGTTCCAACCTGTTTAATTGCTTCACAGACATTAAAGTTACTCTTTCATGGTTTACAATATAAATACAAAACTTTTATTTTTTTCAAACCTGAGTAATCAACTTTGATTATTGTATTGGCCTTGAGCAGATGTCTGGGACACTTGGAGAGATTTCGAGCCCCTTGGGTCGACTGAGAGGTTCATAGTTGGTAACTTAGCTTTAGAACCAGGACGAACCTTCAGGGCTGCAGTCAAGTTCTGTGCTGGTAGAGTCTGTACGAAGCCTATCAACAGTGACGGTGTGACTGTCATACCCCATCCTCCAGCAGCTGGAAGCATGACATTAACATACCAGGAATCTGGCGGGGGACAGGCTCAGGTAAAGGGTACTGTTACGGTTTCTAGAGACTTGTGAGTCCCCTTTAAACCAGCAAAATAAAACACAAACATGTCTATAATGTTCAATTATATATTCAATAAACAAAATACACAATGTTACAGTGAATGACAGATTCCCGATATGATACAATGGATTCACCAATCTAAAATATTAACTCACTAAAGTCTTGATATTTACAGTAAACAGATGTACTGATTGAAGATTACTGACAGCTGTTGAAAATTCAATGTCCCCTTGAAACGCCAATGTTGGCGTAAACCCAAAGTCGCCCCCCTCATACACCTTCACAACAATCCCTTTTATACCTATTATACAGTTCTAGAGAATTTTAGCAAAGAACATGCCACACTACGATCACCACACAGCTAACTGCATCCTACTGAAGACCGGAAGCCAAAAAAACACAGGGGAGGTGACTCCTCAGCTTTGTTGAACCATAATATCTGAAAGTTATTAATTGTGACATTATGTTTAACAAAAACACATCCTCATAGCTGTACATTTCTGATAATATTAAGGTATGTCTGAAACTTTCATGCATAGGCTCCCCAGTTACCAAGGTTTCATTGAACGAAAGGAAATGTTCGGGAATCTATATTCAGGAAGAAATCCTCCAAATTTGAAAACACGTAAAGTTTATGTCGTATATCGCAAAAGTTGGATTGTAACTTAACAATTATGTGGACATAGAGTAACGTAAACATTGTGTTGGGAGTACTTATCTGAAGGATCTCGTCAACAGTATCTGTCAGGGGTCAGTCGAAAGTCTTTACATCAATAACGTTACATGGGCCAGTAACATTGGTGCTAGAAATTAGAGCACTTTAAAGTGTGTATCATTTAATCTTTTCTATAGATCCAGGTGACATTGTTCCGTTTCCGTGATCCTGACATACCGATTCTGTCAGAAGCCTATGACGTCATGACCAGATATAAATGGGGTCTCACAGATAACAGTCACAAAAGCAAGATGTTGATCAACTGGCAGGAGGTAGATGCTGGCAGTATTGTCAGTATCAAAGACGAGGTGAGCGTGAACAATATGGTCTTTGCTTAATTTATTTGACATACAGTCTGTTTTACATTGAACCGAATTACCATAGGAGCCATAGTTTGTGTTTCATTTGTGAAATATTAATGGCGGTTTTGTGTTTCTAGACACGTTTTCAGATAACTCTTCCGAAGCAGCTCGACTTTACCAAGTGCAGAAGACTGACGGTCAGGGGTTACAATGTAGTTGGCATGTATTCAACAACTTCAGCAGATGTCAAAGACTGTAATGCCTATGACCCACGTAACGTTGTGCCTGCAGTCGTGGTAGATGCTGTTGGTGAGTAAATACTGCAGACGAGAACGTAAACACGAAGATGTTCGCATGAGTGGAAAGTAGTGTCATAACTGATAAAGGTATTTGTAATAATATTATAGTACCGCACATTTCCATTTGTAAAGTTTGTATATTTCAAGGACACTGGAACACATGCAATTGATGCAAGCCGTTGTGATTTCAGGCTCAGCGAAAGAACTTCATCTTGGATATAGCATCAGTTTAGATCAGAACAGTCACTGGGAACACGATGATGTTGACTACACTCCCTACAAGAACATCCTGTCTGCTGTTTGGCCGACGCTACGTCACAGGAACTACACGTGGGCAGTGGTGGCAGGTGACCAGTTGGACCCCTAATCTCACTACAAGAAAGAGACTCTGATGACCGTCACTGACCCCTGTAGCATGCCGGATGTCATCAAGTGTGGAAACACAGGTGATACTGATAACAATGAAACTGATGAAGTCTCTTGTATTTAAAGGTAACTGCATAAAACTGATTTGTTATCAATTCGTATTTACCAGTTCACGAGTTCCTCAACGTAGAATTCACCCAAGAGGAATACCTACAGCATGGCAGGAGATTTTATGTGTGCATCCACGCTGATGAGAAGGAAATGCCGTTCGAGAAGTGGACGTCCAACCTGACTGAAGTGAACGCTTGTAGTAACGGCATCACAGTTGACCTCACGCCACCAACACCGGGGACAGTGAACGTCGACGGACTAACAGACGGATATTTTCAGGTACTTGTAACATAGGTATTAGATCCGACAACAGAGCATATACCACAGTGCATTTTGACAGATCTGTTTGGTTCATTCTATTTATGTATGCTCTCCAACAAACCTGCTCACATGGATTCTCCGACTTTCAGATTAGCAAAACATATGTTGCCATGAAATGGACAGACTTCACTGATGTCGAAGAAGAGGGACATACGCCCCATCAGCTTGGAATCTCACATTATGAGGTTGCTCTGGGTATGAGACATCATATAGCGAACTTTAGCTGAAATATTATTCCATTAATACTCTGAACATTGTTCGTCTTGGTGAATGCACACCTGAATGTTTTGATCTTTAAAAATATATTTCAGTGAATGACTGTAAGCTTATTAACATTAAATGTTTCTTCTCTAGGATCTGTCCCTGGTGGACAAGATGTGGTCAAGTTCACTAACGTTGGATCTGTCGACCATTACACACTCCACAGTCTTCATCTACATAGTGGAAATACATACTATGTCTCAGTGAAAGGTACTACTAAATGCACATTAAATTACAATCTAAAGCGTACAAACTATCGAGCAGAGGAAAGAGTTCATCAAATTCTTGTGGCTCAATAAAAAACAAGGAAGATTAAAGCTATTCTGTGATGTATTCGATACAGGTATAGTAGCTGTGTTTTGACCTGAGTTTCGGCGACTTTGTTGAACCTAGTAATTTTACTGATTTTCAAACCGTGAAGATCGTGGAACTGATCTTCAGTAACCATGCTTGTCGTAAGAGGCCATCATCGGGTGGTTTACGGATTTGGTTGGCAGACCACCGCCATTATTGTTTACAGACCGTCGCCATGTAGCTGAAATATTGCTGAGTGCGGCGTTCAACAACAAACCAACCGACCAACCAATTTTCAAGTGCATCTTTTTTTGTGGTCCGACAGTTTATACACATTGCCAAAATGGTAGGGTATATTATGTTTTGAGGTGAAACTAAAGGAACATAGACTAATGCCCAGTAAGCAATTTATATCGGCGGAACGAGAAGTATTCTCGACTTCAGGACCAAAGAATCGAGTTTTGAGTCCTTATCAGCGTTTATAGGGGGTTAACGTCGAACGCCAAGACCGTTTTGAGTGCTCTACAATGGTATGGGGCAGTGTCATAATGTTTGGCCAAACTTGGTCCCTATATTGTACATGGGAGAATTACAGGACAACACCATTGCACCTCTCGTGGTGCTATTTGCACTACGTGTTGGGACACGGTTCATCTTTTAAGATGGCGAGGATAATGCACATGATCTCCGTGCCCGGATTGTGACCAGGCTGCCCAAATGCATCCATTTCGTACCAACAGAGACGAATTTACCCGATATTTGTGACATTGGCTACAAATTGCAAATATCGAATTTAACCCGTAGCCTCAGTAACGACCTACTGCGTGACAAACCGATTGCCACCAACCATTAGAAGAGCACAGTAGATCTGACCTGCTCACGCACAAATAGATACGATTTCTAGTATCCACTATAATTTGGTAGTTGATATACATGGTTGACATTAGATAATAGAAACTAGTTTTGCTGATGTTTCCAACATTTCTGACACATGAATTCCTATGCACATTTAACATTTAAGGTTTCCCCAATAGATATCATAGTTGTCCACAGCACATTGGTATTCTCATTTCAGCTACGGATTTTGTCAACATGACAACAGCGGCTGTGTCAAAAGGTTTCCTTGTGGACTCCACAGCTCCAGTATTGACTGGCCAGCTCGTACAGCTAGAGGGACGCTACATCACATCACGTGTGGTGCATGTCTGGTAATATTGGACATGATGTCTAGAAGTTCATGGTCAGAAGTATAATCCTGTCATTTTTCCAGATTGTGTCCAACTATAGTGAGTGAGTGAGTTTAGTTTGACGCCGCACACAGGAATATTCCAGCGGCGGTCTGTAAATAATCGAGTCTGGACCAGACAATCCAGTGATCAACAGCATGAGCATCGATCTGCGCAATTTGGAAGCGATGTCATGTGTCAACCACGTCAGCGAGCCTGACCACCCGATCCCATTAGTCCCCTCTTACGACAAGCATAGGTTGCTGAAGGCACATTCCAACCCGGACATTCACGGGTGTGTCCAACTAAAACATACACTGATTAGAAGGGAACAAATATTAACCATATGTGCTATGTTTGACATGCAGGTGTGTGCTACTATACAATGTTATATTTGTACTGTATATTGGACGTACTCCCGACAACTTACTTATTTCATTTACCGATGGTTGCAAAAAACCTTGATATATGATGTGTGTTTTTAGCTGGACCAACGTGTTCTTAGACGAGGAAAGCGGACTAAAGGAATACATGGTTTCCATGGGTACCAGACCTGCGTACGCTGACGTGTCAGAGAACGTGATCACTGACCAGGATTGCTTGGACTTTGACACACTGAACAATGTTGTGGATGGACATTCATATTATTTTTCTCTGAAGGTATATGTAGTAGAGAGTGCAACACATGTATTTTGATAAAGCAAGCAGCAAAGCAAATACCATATTGAGTTTAAGTAAGCGTTGTAAGGTGTAATGACTGCTGTGAAACTCAATGTGACATCAGGAACGGGATGCGTATAATTTTCGCTGTGATTTTCGCCCAGGCGTTCAACGGTGCAGGTCTGTACACTCTCTCTTCATCACGACTTCTGACAGTGGACACCACGCCTCCATCTACTGGCCACGTCTATGACGGAGTACAGTCAGCTGCCTCAAATGATGACAAAGACAAGGACTATATCACCAGTGCCTCAGAGATGGCAGCCTACTGGGAAGGCTTCGACGATCCTCATTCAAATATCGCCATGTACAAGGTCAAGGTCGGGACCTGTGCAGGATGTGACGACAAACTGGAAGAGATAGAGTTTGGAAACACAAAAAAGTACAGTTTTTTTCAGATATCAGGGCATATTCCTTTAGAAATATTGACGAATAGAACTTCTCTTAGCACATATAGATGTAGATGAGAAGGGGGGTATGTTGCATGATACAACCACTGTTTAGGATATAATACTTCATTCATATTAAATACCATGTATAAAATATGAAATGTTTCAGGGGCGGTGGGGTAGCATAGTGGTTAAAGCGTTGGCTCCTTACGCCGAAGACCCGGGTTCGAATCCTCACATGGGTACAATGTGTGAAGCCCATTTCTGGTGTCCCTCGCCGTGATGTTGCTGGAATATTAAAATAATAATAAAAGCGGCGTAAAACCAAACTCAGTCAGTCAGTGAAATGTTTCAGACATCAGCCTCCAGCACATCCTGCTCTCCCCTGGAGTGAAGTACTTCACCACAGTGACAGCCTGTAGCACAGCAGGCCTCTGCAGCAGCTCCTCCACCTCCGACGGTGTGATCCTGGACAGCTCCCCACCAGTCCCAGGAACAGTGCAGGATGGCACAGGCGACGTGGACATACAGTTCCAGGCGACGAGGTTAATGTTCCAGTTATACATGAACAATGTAATGTTGATTAGGGAAATGTTGTGTGAACTTTATTGTTTTTCAACCACTTTACCTGCCTAAACCCTTGTTTCAGGACATTTATGGGATGCAAATGGCGGGGCTTCCACGACCCTGAATCTGGTTTAGACCACTATGAATGGCGTGTAGGAACAACACCAGGAGGTGATGAGATTCTCGCAACCAGGAATGCAGCCCTGGAGGAGGTCATCTTCCACATCTTCCCACGTGACCAACAGCTGCCAGTTGGGCAGATGATGTACAGTACTGTCCGAGCGTTCAACAAAGGAGGTACGATACCTATTGTTCTTATCAGATCTCTTCTGTGTATTTCGATACAAGCACCTATTTATTCTCTCGATATATCTATACATATTTATTACTTTTAACATGTCACTGATTTTGAAATCCGCGCTACAGGATTGCATTCGGAAACGACATCCAATGGAATTACGATAGACAACAGCGGACCTGTTGTTGTGACCTCACCGACGGCGAGAGACGGGATTTCTTCTGTTGTTGCCAACACTACAGTCAGTCGGACAGCTCTGAGCCTACACTGGGAGTTCCAAGACGTTGAGTCCTCCATAGAACTCCAGTACCTCTCCTTATCATCTCACCTGTTTGGAGAGATAGATAGTTCTAATCTTAAGGTACAGTGAATCTACTTGAATCATTTTTGTCAAATTATACCTGGCGATAATACCATGTTCATTACCAGTAATTGCAGCTGTTTTACTATCCTTTGTTGAAAGGTATGTATATGATTGAGTGTTTTATGAGTTAAAAGGCCGTTTGATTGTCGATGCGACTGCAATTCTTGACTTACTTACGCATGAATAGTGTGAAAGTACTCTGATAAACAATGTTTTACAGATTCTAATAAATACAACTCATACACAACTCACAGTTTCTGAGCTCTATGTAATATATATGTTTAATTGATAGTCATGTGCATTTGACACAACAAAGCAGATATTTGGCCAATTTAAATGAAGCGTACCATGCGCTGACATTATGGTATCTACCAGTAGTTGGATTTGGATTCTCCAATTGAAAAGAAAAAGAAATTTTCGATGCTATTATACGGTTAAAATTGGTAAATCGCCTGTGGTCGACAATATACTAGCAGAAATGATTAAATCATCGAAAAAGGTCGTTATGCCATTTCTTCTCGTTTTATTTAATAAACTATTTGAGAGCGGGAGCTTTCCAGATGTTTTGAGTAAAGCAATAATTATTCCATCACACAAGAAGGGTGATATCCACAACCCAGATAACCATAGGGGCATTTCATTGTTAAGTATTTTAAACAAATTATATACCAGCATATTAAACACTCGTTTAAAACAATGGGCAATTTTCATGAATAAGATAGAAACTCAAGCGGGTTTTAGAGGAGGTTATTCTACCATAGATCACATTTTCATGTAGAATGCACTTATTGAAAAATGCTTATGTAAAAAGAGAAAATCTTGCATAGATTTTAGAAAATGCTTTTGATTTAATAGACAGATTTAAATTATGGAGCTTGTTATCAAGCTACGGTTTGGGTGGGAAAATGATGCTAGCGCTAAAAGGTATTTACTCTTCCGTTAAATCATGGGTGCGATGTAATTAGATTTAACAGACTACTTTAACTGTCCTTTTGGTCTAAAACAAGGTTGTATGCTGAGTCCAATACTCTTTTCTCTGTTCATAAATGAACTTTCTATTGAAATTTCACAAAATGGAAAACATGGCATCCAGTTATTTCCCGATATGATAGACATTTTGATGCTACTTTTCGCTGATGATGTTATTTTAGCTTCAGATTCTAAATGTGGTTTTCAAAATCAATTACATATTTTAGCATTGTGTTCAGCTAAGTGGGATTTAAACGTTAGCCTTTATAAATCTAATATTGTTGTATTCAGGAGGGGAGGTAGACTTAAAAGTACTGATGCATGGTACTTTCAAGGTAATAACTTAAAGATAGTCAATAGCTATAAATATCTCAGTTTTCTATTCACGTGTAATGTTAGCCTGGGCAAATCGTTATCCGATCTCTGCTTGCGTGGTAAAGAAAGCATTAATGGAATTAAATGGCAACCTCAGAAAAATCGGTTCGTTATCACAGGATATCTTTTTCAAAATATTTGATAGTCAAATACAATCTATCCTATTATATGCTTCAGAAATGTTGGGATATAAAAATATGAATGTATTGAGAAAATACTTCTTTCGGCTTGCAAATTATACCTAAACGTTGGACCTCAGATACCTAACGCTATTGTGTATGGTGAATGTGGCCGTTTCCCTATTTTTGTAAATGCAGCTGTTCGTTGTCTTAACTACTGGATTAAAATAATAACAATGCACAAAGATCGCATACCAAAGAAAGCTTCTGAAATGTTACTTAATCTCGATAACCTTGGCTATGAGACATGATCTTAAAAAAATCGCAATTTGCTCTTTTCTTATGGCTTTGGATTTGTTTGGTTATCACAAACTGTTGGGAATCTTGTAAGTTTTATCGGAATCTTTCAAACGCGTTTAGTGGATGTTTTTATACGAAATTAGAGATCCGATATTAACAATATCACACGTTATGTTTTGTAAAGAGAATTCAAAAGCGTATTAAACCCTGAAAAATACCTTTTTGAAATTGCAGATTATAAATTACGTAAATGTTTAGTTAGATTTAGAGCAGGATTACTAAGGTTAAAATTTAATGAAGGGCGATGGTGTAAAACTTTGAGAACATGTCCTTCCTGTCCTAGAAGACGAATACCATTTTACTTTCATTTTTCAAAGATATGATGACCTAATCGTTAATATGTACCAAGTGATTTCAAAACGAATAAGAATAACTTTAAGAAACTACGTATGACAAATAACGTACATAGTTGAAAATGCTCAGCCTATATATAATGCATTCTTATGAACGAAGATGTGAGCTATTACAAGAATGATAATATTAAATACCATATTATACTTTTGTATTATCATATCATATCTTTTTCTACTTTATCCATATTAACCTGTATCGTATGTTCTGATTACCTGTATACATGTATGCAGATGGGCGTGTATACATATATGCAAATTGTATTATAATGACATTATATGTATATTGGCCCGATGGCCTTTGTACGGAAATAAAGTTTTGATTAATAGCGACATTCCCAGTTGAATAAACAAGATCAGTCTTTTGACATGCGAGGAATCATAGATGGCTCCACAGCAACGTCTTTCGTTATGTGTCACTCGTCTTCAGGATTTTTTGGTTATTTTTTCATACTCGGGTTCTGGGCCAATTAAAAAAACAATCAGTGTATTGTTTTCACAATGTTTAACCAAATCCACAACTTGTCCCGAGGTTCCAGGTTTTATTCGAGAATACACATACACAAATCTGGACTTGCATGATGGAAGTAAATACAAGGTGAAGGTCACAGCTTGCAACATGGCGGGCCTCTGTACATCAGCAGCTACCGGGGATATTTTGGTTGACAGCTCTAAACCCAAAACAGGTAATCTGTCGCTGTGCACAATGAAATTTGGTGATTGTTTCGATCGAATGAATTTGTGAAAAGAGACCATGACACTGCTGTTGTTCCTCTGCAGGATCCTTCGCCATAGAAACGGACCACGCAGTGAAACTTCCACGACATCAAACTGGATGGATGACTTTGAACAGTACACATCTGAACCTAGCGTGGCTTGGCTTCTCTGACCTACATTCAGGAATACATCATTATCTTATAACCGTGTGGTCTCGAGAATTCGGAACTGAGTACAATAAAGTAAGTGAATAACCTTGTGATACTGCATCACAAAAGACAACTGAGAAGTCACATATTTATAATATAAAATTATAACGGGTAGAGAGATCGTCTGGCCTTTTGTCAGTAGACTAGGTTATAGTATTAGGTCCCGGACAACAATTTTAGTTGTATGCTGTGCACAGAGCATCTTGACATGAACATAAACAAGTCTTACCTAAACACTTTAAATAAGAACGATAATGTTCATTATGTCAAGGTACCCTCCAAAATGAAGTTCACAGAGTGCAGTTCGATGTAGATCTTCTGTAAGTGCTGTGGCTTCCATTGGTGTCTCTTATAGCCACACAGCATCTTCTTATGGATCTTAGAACGTTAGTAAACACACCGAGAGGAAGATGTGGCCATTTTTTTTTTTACAAGTATACGTAGACCATCTTGCAACGTCAGTGGTGGATTGACATGCTGACGAGCACGTCGACCCAGTTCGTCCCAGATTGAGGTCGTGGCTACGCGACGGCCAATCAAATACTTGAATACCGTCATTTCGTAGAAAATTCTGTCCAAGAATTGCCGAATGCGGTCTAGCGTCGTCTTGTTGTGACATGTCTCTGCATAGATGGAAGCATGACAGGTTGCAAAATCTATTTCCTGTACTGGGCAGCATTAAAGTTACCTCAAACGACAACAATGGGAGAACGTCCGTGTGCGCAAAACTATTCCATACCCCTTACGCTTCCGCCACCAAATCTGTCCTCTTCACGGACGCAGACTTGAGTGTGACAATCACCTCGCCCGCGGTACATTCGGCCCCTGCCGTCGGCAAATATCAATGTGAAACGAGATCCATCGCTGAAGTCAACCGAATTCCACTGTCTTTGATTGAACCTTTAAAATTGGTCCATTATGGCGTATTCGGGGCGTGCAAGCGATTTCTGATAGTTTGTGCAGCTATCCCTCCAGGAAACATCTCACTACTTGTGGAAGTTGCAGTGACAAATTTGTTCCAAAGATGGCGAAATCGTATTGCTTGATCTCTCCGGGGTGACACACGTGGCTCTCCCGGCCTCGGTCGGTCGGAAACAGCTCCGGTTTGATCAATCTCAACCTAAAATTTAAAATTGTTTGTCGTGAGCAGTCAAAGGCTCTTGCAACAACGACCCCAGACTGACTAGCATCAAGTCTCCCTATAACACGTTGGCGTTCTTGATTTGAAAGGCGTGGCATTTCCAAACAGAAGTTAAAATGAAAAGATAAAATTGTTTTTCCACCTCACATTCAATGTGCGTGTCCAGTTAAAGCAAATATGCGGCTAATGACCTCATGAATTTGATTTTCACACGTGCATGTCGTGTTTTTATCATTATAGGCCACAAAGTCAAGGTTTGCACTAAAAGGTTTGCAATAATAACGTGTCAACCAATCGTCTTGCCAATAGTCACACTTTTTAATATGAAATAATAACGCGTACAGAAATTGTCTTGACATTAATCACAAATTTATAACAGGGCAGTGGACTAATGGAGGTCTCCCACGAGGCAGCCGGAGTTGACAAGGGTGACGAGGGAGTTCTCCAGACCTTCAGTGTGCCCACCAAGACTCTGCCACATAATGGGACTGTGTTTGTAGCTATATGGGCAGTGAATGGGGTACGTGTGTATACCGGTAGATATTATGAATGAATGTCTCCTTTTCTATCTTTATACCTGGAATCGTCTGTCGCTGACATTGATGATCAGTCAATAGAACGTTCGTTCTGACTCGCAGGTTGGCCTACAGAGTGATGCCTACCACGCTGAACTGGTCCGGGAGGTAGATTCTACACTGTGGCTGGTGAGGAGGTGCCAGGCCTACAACTGTGCGGGACACTGTGTCTGTGCTGTGCAGGGCGGTACCTGTTCTGCCAGTAAAGCATGTACACAAGACAAAACAGGTTTGTGGAGAAAAGAGAAACAGAACAAGTATTAGGACCTGCTATCACATTTCAGTCATTTTAGTAGCTAAACATATCTCCCTTGTTTCTTGCATTTATGTTTATGTCCAGTACATAAACTCACAACCAGTTAACAGAGCAGGAAGTACAATAACAGGAGGATCTTCAATTGTATTCCTTCATGTAAATATTTCAGTTACTGTAAACGTACTTATTTTCGCGTGGTGCAATTTTCGGGGAATTGACAGTTTAGACTACATCGCGCGGTCAATTATTCGCGCAATCAGTAATTGCCCGAACTGCCAGCTGTCTCTTTGGCCGCCACTAATAGCAGTGAAAACAAACAGAGTGGCTTAACCTGTCAGGCAGCGTTTATTACTTACTCACAGGAAATCACAATATGTGCGATATACTAGTACACAGTAACCCGTTTACTCCCGGAAGAGATGAAAAACACATCAGTATTATGTTCCGAATTCTGACGACCTGACTAATTAACTTATACTGTATATGAAGCTCTTTGTGATTTCAAACAAGCCGGGTTGTTGTGAATGAGATGATTGAGTGTTAGTGACTATTCGCTTCATGATGATACGTTTGTATCTAAATGAATAAATAAAATACTGCTGTATTATTTCTTTCCGAGTCGTTTCATGGTAATCTGTTTTGTATCAAACCATCTGTCATGTGACCAATTTCCATGGCGGCCACAACACACATTGCTGGTTTCGCTAATTCGGCGATGGGATTTGGCTCATTATTTAATTATGTTTTGGGAAATCCATTACAGCGACAGTTAAGTTTGATTCTTTATGCTACTATCAGTCGTCATTTTAAGATTCCTGTAGATTTCTGTCTTCAAACGTGATGTGTTATGGTAACAACTCAGGGCGAGCGTGGCTAGACTGAATGATGACAGGTTTATACTACGTTTACAGTATACCACGTTGCCATGGTAATGGAATGAAAGTTCCTAGTGACGAGTGTCCTAAAAGTATATGATAGACAATATACTTGTTTGTTTATGACAAACGTAACATAGTTTTCATACCTTGTTTCGCGCAGTTTTGTTACACCAAAACTATTCCTGTTTTCCAGATCCAACACGTCGCCTCTCATGACCGCATAGGGCGGTAGGGATCTATTATATTCCGAAAGGGGCAGTGGGGTAGTCTAGCTGCTAAAGCGTTCGCTCGTCACTCTGAAGATCCGGGTTCGTTTCCTCAAATGGTGTGAAACCCATTCATTCCCGGTGTCCCCCGCCGTGATATTGCTGGAATATTTCTGAAAGCGGCGTAAAACTAAACTCACTCACATACTCACTCTATTCCGTAAATATGGGTTTTATCATAGCCCCGGGAGGCAAAACGAATTGCGGCAAATCAGAGAATGTGACACTCATGCCCACATAGTTTGTTATTGTCTGAACACGTGACGGCTTTTTCCCTGTGTGTCTGTTAACAAACTGGTAAAATGTAATTCTGTCACAGGGACCAACACTGTCACAGTCGTCGACACCATCAACCTCTTGTTTCCAGCAGAAGTTGACATGTCTCCTTTCAACACTTTCATGGCTGCCAACTGGTCTGTCATAACGCCAGGACTACAAGTAACACGGTATATATACATACAGATATCCGAAATATCGAGACATCCGTATCGAGTTAAAAGAGCTTGAATTATGATAAATTATGAAGGATGTTGCCGAGATGTTTATTCGAGACAACCACTATATCGAGTTAACAGAGTTCGACACAACGGTGCTCGAGTGTATGTCCTCAGATAACTCTATGTACCGTTTACCGGGCAGTGAGGACAATGACACCAATAAAAGGCTAGGGAATGCGAATGTGAGGATCGCAATATGCAGTGCCAAAAAAATCTTATTTGACATGCGTTTAGTAATTTGAGTATTCGAGAAGGATAATTTATGTTTATAAACAACGTCTTTATTCTACAGTTCACTGTGGGTTTTAAGTGTTATCAAGCAATATATGGCATATATACAAGGCAGTACAGAAGTGTTTGGATGAGGGTTTGGTTACAGGAGAGTGGAGTAACATGTTAATTACACAATACGATCTTATGTTGGCAAATGTCCTAACAGAAGAAGCCTGAAGTATAAACCAAAAAGACAGAAAAAGATTAGAACTGATTGGAATCCTTGAAGAGTAATGGAACGCTGGAGGCATGTAAGAGAATTGCTGACAGTTGACAAAATATCTTTTGATGTGCACTACTTCTTGCATTTTTCTGATTGTTTAGTCGTCGAGGATGTGGTCTGATAAAGCTGAAGTTTTGATACTCAGGGTTATTAATTCAGGATGTGAGGAGTATTGATGTTTCCCCGTCATAAGCGTGTCTTTGGTTGTGTTTTAAATAATGTTTGTAAACTTATACATTTGTATGCTTACACTGGCAGGCGTTTCCTGATTTTGTGGCTGACATTTCATTGGTAGGGGTTTAGGGAGGTCATTATGGGACGATGTCGTATCGGCCAGTCTAGATATGCTCGTGTTTACTTATCGAAAGATTTGCTGCTCATATGTATCACTATCATATGATAGTGGGTACCTGAAACGGCTGTATTCACATTATAACCTTATATGACTTATATAGGTTTTAATAGAGGAAATAATGTTGTTTTATCAAGTTTAAAACACCCGAAAGACATAGGAAAAAACAAACGCTTTTGGTATATTTTGAAATATGATCTCTGTTGGCAATCCAGTGTGTTATGAATAAAGGATGGTGCTAATATATTTCTGGTGTCAACTGAATAAATAGTTTCGTTAGCGTTTAAAACATCAGGCAGAGTTTCTGTATTTTCTTTCTGAAATCTGCACTGGAATGTCGCTGTTAAATATTCATCCATATAATTACCTTACCTTTCCCTATTTCAGTACCATTCACTGATGTCACAGCCAAATACAACAACGGGATGATATACTTTGATTCTTGTTGAGTACAATATTGGGCATAAGACTCACGAGAAGAACAGATAAGACAATGAACTCTCCAGGGCAATTTAGCGAAGTGCATGAATAGAAAATCTTTTCACTATAAACTTTCTCATACCTATGGTCATATGTGTTGTGTTGCAGCTACGAATACAGTGTAGGAGTTAGTGAAATGGATTTACCGGATGGAGTGTTCAAGAAATCTTCCCAAAGAGTATGGTTTGATGCAGGTCAACAAACATCAGCGATTTTGTCCTTGGACAAAGGTCAATGTAAATTATGTTTCTCCTCTGTTATCAAAAGGGTTTTTTCATCTATTTGAAACTGTTCATTTATATTCTTCCTAATATGATCCAGTTGTAAAATAATATCAATGCATTTCGTGCCTTAAATCTTGCTGCCGCTGTGAATGGTTGCCTAGAGATATATATCAGAGACGTTTCAGTCAATGTCTTTATACGTGATGTAGCCTAGACTGTCGTGTATGTTTTCACATAGGCAGTGATGTCATTAAAAGAAATTCCATTTAACTTTCTTTCTTTCTGAGGTATTTGAAGTACCTCATCGCTTTTCATAAAGACATAGTTTTCATATTTTATGCCAAGACGCATGTAACATTTACAAAGAGGCTACATTCAACAATATATATATATATATATGAAAGGGCCAGCCGTGACCTATTTTGAGAAGTCAAAATGTTTCGTATTACATTCCGGAGAAGGGTTCAGTGATGATTGGGATGGGGCTGTCTTAATACATGCTATTTCTTTGTTTCAGGTAGCTTTCTGAGACCTGGAATACAATACTCCTTCTTCGTGAAAGCTTGGTATAATAACAGAAATTACAGCATCTTCAAGTCAAATGGTGTCACTTTCGTTACATCACCACCCACGGTAACAAGAAAGTCAGGAAGAACTGTAAGTGCATTCTGTGGTACACACTGTTTCCCATAAGAAACTTGAACACTTTCATAGTCACGGATTTCTAATTAAATACATACAATTGTCAGCACTACTTTCCCCTTATACCCGAATGAATCAGGGTCGCCGGATGTTAGAATTTACTCCTGTCGTTGCTGTTTTGATTTGTATCATCTATACATGACTGACAGACACAAATATAAAAAAAACAGGTGAAGGAAGTCCTAAACATCAGTGACTCCAAAGACACAGACTTCCAGACACAGAACAACACACTTGTCGTCACGTGGTCTGGACATTTCCTGCCTGGTATAAGCAGCATCCACCGATACAGGGTCTACATCAGCACACACACAGGAGGTATTAGTTTTACTGATCTTTGTTCATCGCATTATGTACGGGAGATTTGAGCTCGCATGATCCATGGATGTCATCAAGCCATCCCCATAGCGCATTGAAGTAATCTAATCGAATGAGAGTGTTTCAAATGAAACATTTATGTAAATCATACTCCATTTGATCACTGATACATTTCAAATTTATATTTACTAATTTAGTAAAGAGATACTGCTCAGGGTCACATAAATACAAAGCAAGTAGGTTCTCTTCCTAGTACTGTTTCTGCAGTTAAAGAATGACCATATGTTACCATTAGTAGATAAACAGGATTTCATAGTTTTACACATATCTAGGATAACTTTAACATAGTTTCCTTTGACATAATTATCTATTGACTTTGACTAAGGCGATCCTTAACCCCGTGGAACCAGGATCGGATCATGTCCACATCAATTTGCTATTTGGTTGTACAACATAAATAAGCTCGGTCACAATTGGTTGTTTAAGTCCATGGCATGTCTCGACCTAAATCGATTTTTTACAAGTAACATGATAAAATGGATAATTGCTTACTAGTTTATTAAACACCATTCAATATCTCCAAATCTATTTTACTGACTGGATGTAATGTGCCTGTTTTATCAGTATCCACTTTCCTAATATATTTACTACTATGGATCTGCGATTTGATGTTCTCAGGTCACAGTATCCACGAATCAGGGGACCTGACCTCCACCAGCTATACGGGGGCAGGTCTGAGTTTACGTCCAAACACAGTCTACTACTGCAGTGTCCTGGCTTATAACAAGGCTGGTCTGGTCAGCTGGGCCTACTCTGATGGAGTACAGGTGGACGTCATACCCCCAGTGGCAGGCAGAACGAAGGATGGAGCAGGTACGATACTGAAAATATAACTGTTTGTTAAGACAATGCTCAATACAGAAATGAAAACAGTGGGTATTTTCAGCATTAATGACGCATTATATATCCACATATTTCTAGCTTGTGGGAACACTGCAAGACTGTATGTTTAAACTCTGCAGACATCCACGACCAGGACTACCAGAGTTCTCCATCTGAAGTATCTGCCTCCTGGTACGGCTTCTCTGACACAGACTCCGCGATCGTCAAGTATTTCTGGTGTGTGGGGACAATCAACGACACATCAGATTGCAGTGTGATGGACTGGTTGGATACTGGACTGCACACATCCTTCAGTATATCGCTTCCAACTCCGTTGTCTGCTGGTAAGTATATGATATGTTGCATCTAGAATCTTGAGCCCGGATATAGTGATATATTTCCTAACATCCAATGTACCGACTATGTTTACAGGTACCATATGGAACAAAGTGTATGCTGTAGACGCGGTTGGCCATGCCTCTGACGTAGCTGTATCTGATGGAGTTGTCATCGACACATCACCCCCTGAACCTAAGGATGTAGCATATCTTGGAAACAATCTGGTGATGAACCCATCTTTTGAGGTAGACAATTTAACTGGTAGTACCACGCAATGCAACCTCGTCATACCAACATCATGGGAAACTGACACAGCGTCGTGTATCAAGGTTCAGGCGCCGGATTCACCTTTAGCTAAAGATGGACATAAGTTTGTGTCCGTAAGTGGAAGCATCCAACAAACGATCTCAGGTCTTGAGGTTGGGAGGCAGTACAAGCTGACTCTGCATGCTGGATATCCGGAGACTGTTTCGGACACCCACAGATCAGTTGATGCAATAGTTACAATAGGAAGTGAAGTCTTCAGCTTTACCCTTGACCCTAACCTCTGTAGAGGCACCTGCAGTGTTGGAGATCACTCAGTCGTCCTCTGGAACAAACACACATACAGGTTCACAGCTGTAGATACCAGTATAGTGCTGAAGATAACGTCATCGTCAAGGATGATGGAGTTTGTACTGGACCATGTAAGTGTCCAGACCGTGGACTATGTTGCTGGTCCGGACAGTGTGGACACTGAGGAGCATCTGGTGGTCCACTCTATGTTCCTGTCTCACTGGTCATCTCTACATGCCTCCTGGCACTTTGAGGACCTACAGTCTCCAATTACACAGTACAAATGGGCGATTGGTAAGTCTCTCCGCTTACATCAAAATGAGTCAACGAGAGACCTAGGTTAGTATAATGCTAAATACAAATGTGTCTAATTCGTGTACAATGTCATGTTGAAGAAGCTAAATATGTTTGTAGTGTGACAGAATTCGCTGTGATGCATTCATGAAGAATACATTCATTAATTGTATTTAAATTCAAAGAAATGGCTACTGGACGATTCATACCTCACCTTCTGATAGATACAAAGTGGCAACAAACTTCACCTTATTACAGGCAGAGTCCCAGGTGGCAGTCAAATCCAGGAGTACACAGATGTAGGCAGGAAAGTTCAGGGGGATATTTCAGGTCTGAAGCTGACCCACAACTCCAGTCTTTACATCACTGTCATGGCCATGAATGCTGCTGGACTGACCACTGTTTCCCGTGCACAACCCATCGTTGTAGATCTGACTCCGCCATTATTCAGTCATATCAGTGATGGGCCAGGTAAATGCTCCAAAACACGTGAAAACAATGTCGCTTTACTACACATTCGGTGATGTCCCAACTGTGTCACTTCCTTACCATCACATTTTGGCCCAGGAAGTATTTGCAAGGTCAATACTCCAAGACAATTGATGACGGTCACAGAAAGGTCATAGGTTGCAATGCTCGTTCATGTGCCTTAGAATACTTATGGGAAGTAGCGACACAAAACTAGCCATAGGGCGAAACATGTCATCAACATATGAGACCAGGTTGTAAATGAAATAGTAACATAAACAACAGGCAACATATTACAGTACATATTCAGTTTCTTTGTTGATACTTGCTGGAAATAGTTAACGAGAGACAATCTAAAGTGACTGAACCCAATACTAGCGAAGAGCATTGAGAGCTGATAGGCAGTGAACGAATATCTGAACTGAGCAACTGTAAAAAGACAGCTAATTAATACCATTAGCAAGACACACAAACAGCTAATTAAATCGACTGTGTCCAGTAAACAGACTGAAGTGAAGGGATGAAACAAGCTACTTAAAGGTGTCAGCCACATGTACTCTTAGTAAGGAGGCATACATGACTATACATACAAGAGATATATCTAAAGAGCAGTAGGTAATCCTGCTAGCGAGTGACGTGGTGATCAAAGTTATTAATCATTTTCAACAAGTAACATTTTCAATAAGATTCAGACACACAGTATAGAACTGATAAGCTAATTAGAAAAAAATGAAAATATAATAGTTCACTGTAGCGTAATGAGCACAAAAGCAAAGAATGGAAGCGGAACAGGCTTGCGATTGCCGCACCTTGGAGAGTTGTGGATGGTGAGGTGCTATTGTTAAGCATACCTGAATAACGACGAGCGATATATTTGTATAGATACACACTATTACTTGCATTATTTCGGAAGGTTTTTAAGTTTAGATTGTCGCTTTCTAAAGTGTTGATATATGTCATTTCTTTGTGTTTAGGCTCAGATGAAGATCATCAAACATCAAGTGTGGTTAGCGTCAACTGGAAAGTGACGGATGGAGAGTCTGGTGTCGATCACTGTGACTGGGCTATTGGTACGTAAATGCACTTGCCGATATTATGAGTGATGTACGGTAGCAACCTGTGATATACACGTTTCATCTTGATGTTCTTTTGTTCCTCAAACAGGAAGACGCAGACGAAGCGACGACATCATGACGTTCCGCGCAGTTGCCTCAGGACAGTCGACAACTATGATGGACATTAGTGATGCATTCAACACCTCGTCAATAACAGTTTACACAACAGTACGATGTTTCAACAAGGCAGGCTTAGTGGTGGCTGCGACGACGGACGGGGTTGAAATTGTCAGAGAAAAGAGCAAGATATCACTAGAAGAATTAAGTGTCTTGAGTGGGACCCAGACTGAATCCATCTACTCTGACAGAGGGATGTGTCATCAGGACCAGAACACAGTCAGGCTCCACTGGAGCCAGGCCGACCGACAGCTGAGGTCCACAGTGGTAGGTCTCTGTACTCACAGTCTGTAGACATGTGTAAGATCTACACTAATCTTGGCACAAATTGTTCAGCGTGACCTGGTAGCGAAATTTTACGATGCATATTGAGAACATTCCAGTCCGTGTAGGTGTATCAACAGAACATTTGGTGGCATATGTCTGTATATACTTGTTTTTGTTTTGTAGGTTGAAATCGTAGGTGACAGACGTCCCTACCGGAGTGATATTCCAAACCACTTGCAGTATACATATGCGACATTGTCCGATGTGAACTTGGAGACTGGCTCGTCATACAACGTCTGTGTAGTTCCTGTAGACATCTTTGGTACGACTGGAGAGAAAACTACTTCCTACTTTACAGTTCCCAATGAATCACCTGATGTATCTGGTAAGTACTAATGTTACACAATCAACGTTGTGTTATTGTTCGGACATAAAATTTTGCACAATTTATTTATGATCAGCTTGTTATCCTATACGTAATAAGGTCAAGTAAGATATACTTACCTTTGGGGATGTTAGTATTATTTTATGGATATGCGCCCATTATAGTCTTTTAGCACAATGTACTCTTTTGAAGGTGGCATTATTTTGATTACCTAGGGAACTGCATATGGATTACTTGATACTGAGAATCTTTATAAAACAAAAAAGTGGCAATGATTAAATGATATCAGGACATTGCACAGGAATATCTAATGTCCTGAAATACATTTGATCAAAAATCGAATTTAATTGGTTTGATTGTAAAATCAGGGACGACTTCCCTGAGTCCTCACATTGTTCCGAATGAAAACATTCTTATAGGTCGGATGAACTTTGCTTCTATATTGCCCGTTATCGATATGCTGTTACAGATTCGGGACACATATCGTTGAGACAAAGCAACGGAGAGCTGACGGTGTCGTGGAGGAACATGTTTATGTCTGCTTGGAATGACCTCGACTATGAAGTTCACATAGGAACATTGCTTGGAGGAGCTGATATTGTGGACAGAATGTTGACAAAGAAGGAAGAAATTGTCATTCAGCTGAACTCGAGACAAGCTGAATATATTTATGTTATGATAAGTGCTATCGATGTCTGTGGAGGTAACATTCAACGCACTCAGAGTTTCAAGGTCAATCAAGACTAGTTATTATATCATATATTTTTGTTTTTAACATTTTGTAGCGGCTTGAGATACGGTAATATTCCACAGTTTGAAATGGTATTCATCATACTGAATGTATCTAATTATGATTCACGTGTCTTCATTGAAATTCAGTATTTGCTGTTGCTTTTGAAACGAATACTCAACAAGGAAGTTTAATGCATTAAGTCATAGTACTCGCAACGATGTATGGTATAGACACATATTTTAGAAAAACAGTGTATATTTTCGATGTTTTCATTTACAGGCATACATTATAATACCACACAAACAGACAGCAAACAGTACATTATGAATCAGTTGAGTTAAATAATACGTAAACAGTATTATGAGTAAACATAAATCTCACCAGACAACAAGTGTAACGTTGACCTGAATAAAATAAAACCACAAGACAAAAAACAGCATTTGTTCAGTAACATTTGATAATGAAGACATCTGTTAACATCATAATGCTTAATAACTTCTTTTTTCAACAAAGTTGATATGAGTAGCATAGTTTCCAATAGGACATTTGAATATATATTGTTTGACTAGGAGGAGGATTACATATATGTTATTATTATTTTCATCGTTAATTCCGAACAAAATATTTTCAAACGAAAAATATGAACAGTATGAGGCCATTTTGTTACTTCATCCCATAGTTTCTTTACATCCTCACATTTCAAAAAGAGGTGACCAATAAAATAACAAAGTGGTGATTCTTCGTATTTTACTTTATAAAGAAAGATTTTGTTGGTAAAATGTTGGTTATAATCCTATATTGTAACCACCTTAGTTCAGTACATTTAATACATTTGCTAAGAATAGTATTATAAACCATCAATCCTTTGTCAGTGAAACATCTGTCTAAAATACGTTCCCATTTTGAATAGCATGGTAGCCTGGTGAAGAATGAATTCAAAAGAGTATTATATAAATCTTTATTTCCCGGAGAAATATTTATTGATTGTTAATAAATGAGAAAGATGGGAATTTACAGCTGCTATTACAAAGGCTTTGTTTGTGTTTTTGTTTGTGTGCGTATGACCTTATTACTGCTTTGATTCCTTCAAGAGTTAGAAAATAAGTTTTTTATTCTTCGAATGTTAATAACCTCACATCTTCATGTATAATATCGTTGTCAAAAACTACACCTTTCTTTTACCAGTTTTCATAAACCATCGGTTTGTCATCAATAGTTATGTTAGAGTTATTCCAGTTTGACTTTTGATTTTGTTTCTGACACTATACTTGATTCATAATTTGCAAGAATGACTTCCCATACCCTGAAAACATCTTTCCAAAATCTTTTGGATTAATTTGGAATACACTTTTCTTTAATGTGCTTTGAATTACCAGACCAGATGGAATATGGAAACACAGTGTTGTGTATTTCGCTTGTTTACTCTTCAGAACATGTTTACTCTTCTTTTTTATGATGTAGCCGAGTGTGTGGTTTAATTTTGGACAGCTAGGGTTCTTACGTTAACTTGGACCTCTTTTCACTAAAGCAAATCGAGCAATATGAGTCTGTGTATTTAGGTTTTCTTTCAGTCCGTTGACGTGTTAGGATTATTGAACCAATGCCTTCAGGATAACATAGCACGTACGGCAGTGCAGCGAGGTGAAGGATCTTTGATGACCAAATGGAAAATATATGATACACTAGAACATATATTTTTATTTTTGAGACTATTTAAGGCTTACGTCTGTTCATAGGTATAAGGCTACTTTTTTCTTAATCTTTTTGAACATATTAAACTATTTAGCTTTTTTCAAAGTACTTGTTATTTCGAGTGTTTAGAACGTACAATTGCTGGACAGATTAAATTTGAACAGGTAATGGCACTTTATGACTGACCAATGCCCTGACCAGGGAATGTTAGAAGAGACTTGAGGCTCTTCCATTCAATGTACACTTTATACATCTGTATATCGACAGGGTGGATGGATGGCGTGCACCACCCAAACCTAGAACAATGATGCACTATAGAAATATGGAACATTGAAAGTAAATGATGACAATGTATACACAGATGACTTAATTAAGCACCACCTGTATTTTTGCAATGATAGGTTTTCAAGGTCATTTTGCGTGTTTTACACGATTTAAGGTCAATACCGAGTTCAACCTCCATGTGACTGTATGACAGCCAGGACTCCCCTCCTCATGTCAGCCTCCTTATTCTGTTAAAGGTCAGTCTGCTCCATGCCTCGTGTAAGGAAGCTTCCAAATGGACCAGGTTTTGTACACGACGACCAATCATGTCCCAGATATGCTCCAAATGGTTAAGATCGAAGCTCATTTAATCGTGAGATATGTCAGGGGGTGCTTAACTAAGTTCTGTGTTTATATTTACTTACATATTTAATATACGATACGTTGATGGTGATTCGCCGTTCTTTTGAAATATATATTGCACTGCAAAAGGAAATTGACACTCAAAATTAGAATTTGACCAAACACCATGTAGTAGCCTTAGGATGTAGTGAGTGTTCTGACAAGAACCACAAAGCCACTGTGGTGTGCGGCGGATGGACGTTTATTACAATGAATCTAATAACCAAACCGTTTAGCCTGAAACATGGTAAAATGACAATATAAGTTTATCCAATGGATCTGCAACATATAGATTTACTTAGCATTACTACATAATAACTTAATTAACTACTTAGTTTTACATACACACGTATATATATACCATGGTTATGCACAATACTTAATGATACACATGTATTAATTATACTACATGGCATTGATACTGTAAACAATACACATGTGACATATATTACATAATATATACTGATAAATATACTAGTATTTGAAACAACAATGATAACATACGAGGTCGGTATCACCTGAGCTACTGCATACATAGGCGACACATCTACGTCATGTCTTCGCCATCTGCTGGATGGATTAATACCGTATGCAGATGACATTTACAACAAATGATTAAAAGAGTTACTACGGTAAAAGCTACATAGAACAACATCTAACCACATATACACACATACATCCACAAACGCATTCATTTAAAGTAGGGATAATAATGTTATAGTAATAATGCTTTAATATAATAGGAATATGGAAAGTAAGGTTATTGCTAAATGTTATACACAGATGAAATATGAATATATGTAATATTATGATGTACATAATTATATAATATAGCACTCAAACAACTCACTGTACTGTTAGTCAAAATGTAACCTTAACATTAACATAACTCACTATACTGTGAGCTAAACTTACACTACAAAAACAGTATGATAACTCACTCTAATGCGGGTTATAATCTACAATAAAAGCAATAACATAACTCACTATACTGTGAGTTACCATCAAATAAAATACTTAGAAAGTTGGTGCCGAGATTAAACATAATTTAAACTATAGCCAATATAACCATCAACTATCAAATGCACAAACAAAAGCACAATAAATATATACACAAGACTAGAGATTACTAACCTTATATACATGGAAAAACAGTCCAGATCACCATGATCTCGATCCCATAGAGTAAGGACAAACCACAACATGCGCCATGATAATCACATAAGAGACGGACTAAGAGACATGATGAAATTAACCTTTAAATACCTTAATATATTATATGCTTGGGTGATTAGACAACAATTGAACCTGCACACTGGCCTAAGCAAGGGCCAAGCTTAGGGAGGGATTGCAGTGAGAAATGTATGCAGTGTAAATTAGTAGTGCTGAAATAGATTAGTCTTAAGATTAGATTGATGTTTAGAGGGCTAATGTTGAGAGTTGAGTATAAAATAATTGATAAAATGGTTTATTGAATGAGATTGTATATCTCATCAAAATATGACCAACAACTTTAAAGGTTAACATGTTTATTCACAAAACTATATACATATGTATTTATATTAATAAACTATATACAACACTAAGTTGACTCTGCCACAACCACAGAAAGAAATTCTTGTGTATTACAGTTTTTGCCGTCATCGAAAATGGTATGGAATGTTTAGCTGGGAGTCGGTCATTTTCAGGCCGACATTATATAGCTTGAATAGTCTTAACTGCCGTGTTAAAACAATACAACAAATTAAGAGAGAATGATGATTACAAATGTTTAGGAAGCTTGAGACTGGAGGAAGCGTGCGGGCTCCACGCCACAGGCACGTGTACAATTACCCACACGGGTAAAACGTACGAAGTGTACTTTGTACATTGCTAAAACACGGCGTAGACATACTCACTGATTCATAATGAGGACGGGATAAGATTCATAGCCATGTGGTTCACTACCTAAACTAAGCGACACACGATGAACCTAACAGCTATATGCAACCTATGACATATGCCGGAAACTCACTCGTGGTATGCAAGGTTGAAGTTTGTTGAGCTTGAACTGAGCTATTCTACATATGCATGACCCGGTAGGTCAAACGGCACAAACGGCAGCTCGAGTTAACTTCATTAAATAGGAGATCGGAGAATGTGGATTCGTTACAAACCTTGTTCTGGAAAACAACACTTCTGAAAAAAAATCATTTCATGTTTTAATTGAATTGTTAATACAGTCATATGTTATGTAGTTTGGTTTACTAACTATACAACGTACAGACGTCAGTTACTTTCACAATCTGATTCACTCTCGCAAGTTGCTGCTGTTCGCTGCCTAAAAGCCCTAATCGAAAACATGACGATTTCTCGACACTGAGATGTCAAACGGCGACCTTGTCTCGGCTGTTCGGACATGTTGACAATCAACTGACAAAAGTGCACCCCTTCACAATAATAAACCTAGCCACTTGTGACACGGTTACGCAATGTATTAGAATTCACTTGATCAGGTCAAGCTGAGCAAGCTGTATTAACCTATTTCAATCTGTGCCCTAACAAGTATCAGCTGGCAATGTCAGTATTCCTAACTTCATAACACTAACATTTAGGAGATAAAAGTACTGTGTTTGAAAATTAGATGAATGTTACACTGAATTGATAGTCTCTAAATTTCATTTGAAACCGAACGGGTAGCGTGAGGTTTCAATGATTAATTTAGAGAATTGAACTCTTCTGTGAAGGGTGTGGTAGGCGCCGTTCGTATTGTTTTAAATATTGCAACATATAAAATATATTCTGTCCCAAGAAAACAAACTAAAGTTTATTCAATGCAATAATGCAATACTTAAGAGCTTGGTTTTTATATGCCCACCTTCACCAGCCTATTGTTTTGTGTGCCGTGTTTACTGTACCCCCTCTGGCAACACTATAATGGATATCGTCTGACCTACTTATTTTCTTGGAAGTAGCTGCTACGCAACTGTTTGAAATGGCAGACAAGCCAGTGTTTACATTTTGCGAAAGGTTGAGAAAATACTTTAGTGACTCTCGAATCTGAACCCTGCAGAATCGGGTAAAACTTCCACTCGTATTCCCCCTTTATTTTCATTATGCGCAAAAAATAGATACATGTCCATGGTATTTTCATTGGTCTAGAAGCCATAATTCTTTTTTTAAAGGACACTGTGCATACACACTTTGAAGTACCGGGATAAGAACTCGCCTTACCCCGTGCATTTCGTCAGCCATTAAACTGAAGATGGTGGATGTGACGTCATAACTACAAACTACTAGTAGTTTCAAAACTAATAATACTTAATAAACAACATTGAACTCCTGATGAATCGAAGTAAAACAAGTTGTACTTGCCTACAAAGAGTATAGTCGGGCAATCGAATGTATCAGATGCTCGAACGGTGGATTGTCTCCAACGACACAGGTGCGCCAGATGTATTCCGACAGGTGGAGGTCGAAGTTGCGTCTGGTTGAGTGCGTGCTATGGAGTTGCCGCTTCACGCACCGCCACCTGTTTTCTGTTTTCTTTCAAGTCATCGTGCATATATATAAATCTATTAGTGCTTGATCAACAAATGAATTACCACAATCATAAATATATATATATTTATATATATATTACATTTCAATGAGAGTATGCAAGCATGATATCCTATGAACATCAACAAAATGAATTACCACAAATTATTCAATCATAAGGGGAATATTAATAATATTCAGAAATATTTACCGACAAATTTGATGAATGATTCACAGTCAAATGTTCGTATCCCAAATCTTTAATGCCTCTGTAAGCAGCCCACTCATCGGAGATTATTGTTGTACCGGGAAGAGCATGATATCCTATGATGGGTAGCAGAGTAGAACCGTCACGTTTTTTAATTTGTGGCCCCGATTATATTTTCGTTTACCAAATTTGGCCTCATCAATCTCAATAGTGGTGCCCGGTCCCCCTATTTTGGTACATCCACCAAGTTTGATGTCCTCGACACAAACCTCACGAATGTCCGATATTGTTTCTGTTGTGGTTATGTCGCTACAACCATCTACCTCGTGGGGAATTGAGGTCTCTCTGGCAGTCTGTTCATAAGATAATTTTTCGCGCGAAACAATAACAGAGAAGGAGTGATTTTCTCAAGGAAATATTGCTTCCTTCAAACCAGATGTTTTTTTCTCAAGGGAATAGTGTTTTTTATTAGATTGTTTACATTTCTTCTTATTGAATTTTACTCACATCGGCCTTGCAATGTATGCACCTACTCTTATTTGGTAGTAAATAATTATCCTGACAGAATTTACTGGCTGATTCCTCAGCAGAAATCTTAGTGCAAAGAGTAAAAAAATTCAGTCCTACAGGTTGTTTGGTACTGGGTCCAGGGTTAAGGTGGGACTGTCAGGATAAATTCAATTATCGTGAGCATCGAGGCGGGAGAATAACGATGAACTCTGATTCACACTCTCTATATTTTCCTGTAAATCACTAGCCAGTGTGGAATCAAACAAGTAATCCAGAGGTAAAGACGTGGAGGAACTGTGGTCTGGAACCTTCACTTTAACTTTGTTTGGTTCTGTGTAACAATCCGAATCGTCTGATTTTAGACATAGCTATGGTAATGACAAACAAAACAATCTCATTGAACCTTATCACCCTTTAATCTCGTTAAAAAAATCGTGTACAAATTTATAAAGCATGAAATGTACCAGCAACACGGTCCACGCACGAACTTTTCCAACATACAGACTCCCACTAAAGAAGACTATCAAACACAAGTATTACAATTCAACTGTAAGACGCCATCACTCGTTGTAGTGCACTCGGTAAAGCGGAGGACTCAAGACTCAAGACACAGAGAACCCTGGATCGTATCTCGTCAGAATCTGCAAAAAATGTGAGAACATTTAAATGAAGTTGTAAGGCAAACAGTATCCACTCAATATTGAAGCTGTGGACAAGAAGGTTGGGTCAGGTGGTAGACGAGGCATAAACGAAGATGCAGTTCATGCAGAGGTTTTGTTATGTCCAACCCGAACACTTCCCACACACACACACACACACACACACACACGCAGAACTTTTTACTTTAAACCCTAAAACTTCTAGACCCCCTTAAACGCTTGAGCCACACACACACACACACAATAACACCCACCCACCCCCACCCCGACCGTAATCTTGCGAATTTCCCATTCTAAAAGGAAACAAATATACCATTTACCAGGTAGGCAAATATTTACTAGCTTTGCTGCAATATTTTTATAGATAGGGATGCATTTTTACAAGGCTTTCTGATTTATATGTTAGATGTTTGTAAACTTATGTTTGGGGCTGTGCATTGATTGTAATTGAGTTTGAATATTATTTATAATAGGAGGTAATGTGGCTGTGCTGTTCGAGTATTTCACGTAGTCATGGTAGAATGATTTGTTAAGTCTTTTGAGTGCCATTTTCATTCTTTGCATATATGTTCTCAAGTTGAATTATGGTAATTTCCATATGTCAGTTCCTAACTTCATAACACTAAAATATATCAGCATACTCACAGTATAATCTGATAATCAACACAAGTATCATAAAGAACATCTTGTATGTGTAAAATTGTTCTCAACGGAAACAAATACGATGCGTATATTTTAGGTGATGCACGATTCGTATTTATGTAAAGTTTAATTTTGTAATAATGTTATCAGCCTCATAAATTGCCATCGTCCAGCTGATACAGCTGACTATCATAACAGCGACATGTGGCCATAACTTGCCTGAAGGTCGCTATAAATTCGGTGTTTTCTGTTAGATCTCCCGTATCCGCCAAACATCTCGAAAAATTCTGAGTCTGGCGTTATGAAAGGGAAGTAAACATAGATGACTCTTCATCTTACAATCATGCCACGACAGTACTCGATAATTTACGAACGGCTAATCAGTCGCTTCCTCTGACAAGCTATGCAACGCTACATCACTCTATGATAATATATTGATTTGTTGAGTCTATATTGTGCCACATGTATTGTTGGCATATATGGCATCAACTTGAAGATCTATTTCAAGCAATAATTTCCAGTCAACCTCTTTCACCAAACAGAAATGCACAGGTGAACATTCATTACTAAGATGCTTTCGGTGAGAATTTACCTCGAGTTCGTTGACATTCAACTGGAATGCATTCCTTTCACTGTCAGTGTAGTGTTCTTACCTGTGATCTGAGATTTCCTGGGGAACGACATTTCAACCAGAGATCTTGCGTCTTCTGAATTAATCACAATTATATAATCCAATTACTGTTACCCACAAATTGTCGATTTCAACATCACATGCGCTATAGAAAGGACTCCATCAAAATCATATGTCGGGACCTCAGACAACACAAACATACTTGTCAGATGCATGTATATCAGAAGATGCTGCATTCAAAGGGAATACTTATTGTTGTGATGTAAGCCAGTTGGAGTTGCCTCCCTTAGACCATATTTGTGTAGTGCGTGACATATCTTGATGTACGCATGAATCTATGACGTATTAAAGCGAGTCTTGACCCCCGCCATTAGTCATGTCAGCATAACACCTGTGACACATAGACAACAAACTGAATCATTGTGTAAGGTTTACTGCTGCTTTTACTAGTTATCATTTGGGAAGACAAATGTTTTAAGGTATGGTAACGACCAACAGTCCATGAGAACAGTGCACCTGGAACATGCAAATAGGCCACAACAAATATGGGGGTTCACGAGCAAGATTATACGTCAAGTAGCGTTGTATGTTTTGATGCAGGCCTATCATCTTCGCCTCCAAAATGGTCCCCTTCCGTCAGCCTGGTGAAGATGGACGCTTATCTCTTCTCCACTCCAATGGAGACGTCGATGTTGCTGTTCTGGCGTCAGAGTTGGCCGTCGGGCGAGGCGCCTTGCCTTGATACTGAAGACCTCGTCGAGCAGTCCTCGCAGATACACCACTATTGATAGGTATGGTTTGAGTTGTAAGGGATGCTGACTTGAAGCTGTGTTTATAGGTTGATTGTTTTGCTGACTAGGTCGCCATACGTGCTAAATTGTGTTGCTGTGGACGAGCAACGTCGTCCACCAAGGCACATGCACCACATAAAGCATACCTATAGTTCTCCAACTGGCATTGTCCCGGGAGGCATGTCGAACTTGTTCCTGGGCCTCCTTTCACAAAGCACTAAGGTGATCGTGAGGTCACTAAGGTAACCTTAGTGCAATGTTAAAGAATGGGAGATAAGGTTAACCTTAGTAAAGCTTGCTTCGTGAAAGGAGCCCCAGGTCGATAAATACATGTGTTTTTTTCTGATTTCTAACTTCCCAAATCCATTTACAAGCTCACTCCATCAGGAGTCAGATGGCAAAGACCTATGTCCACATTGCTAGAACCTTTGGATGCTTCCGAGTGACAACGTAACATACCTGCAGAGACAGGCCTGCAGAGCCAGGTGAACTTCTTGTCAATCAAGATCGTCCTGACGACACGAATTCGACTGCATACATGAATAGGTACTATGTGTGCAGCCCATTTTTGGTGCCCCACCGTTATATTGCTGGAATATTGGTAAAAGCTGCGTAAAACCAAACTCACCTACTCTCTCATTTGTGTCCCTTGAGAGGAGAGAAACACAGTCAAACACATTTTGCTTGACTGCATAGATTTCTCTCTCAGGAGGGGTGCCTGTTATCAATCATCATCTTCAAAGGATATGTTTACAAATATAAAAATATAAAACAATGTCAAAATCTTGATCAGATAAATTTTGAACATTTGAACTGTTATAAAATTTGTGTGTTGTTATCACCAGCTTAGATTATTAATGGCGGTATAACTCAGGGGTTAAAGTAGTTTAAAAGTATTGTCCCCCTGACAGTGGCGCGTAAGTCCACACTAACTGAAGATTATATCATCGTCTACTAGCGTTGTAATTGCTCAATTGTGGGTAAGTTTTTAATATTGGTTAGTCCTGCATACAGACACTGGTGGCCAAAGTAATGGGAATCATGCAAAAAGCAGATGTAGCGTAAGTCCCCTTGATACCCAGAAGATGACTTTGGTCGCTAGTGGTCTATAGCCTAGTTTTAATTTATACTAAATTATAGCCAGAGGAAGTAATGACTTATTTTATAAAGAATTGGTTTGCTTTATAACTAATCTTTGATACTCAAAAACTGTCCTTTGTAGACAGACCTTTAATATTATTCCAATTGTTCTCATCGCCATATGGCTGCGATATCGCCAAAGCTATGTAAAGTTTTAACTCACTAACTCACTCAATCTGAATGTAACAACTGTATTAATTGTAATTTTGATCTTTTCAATACATTTTACTTCATGTAATATTTGTTTTATGGATTTTAACAGGCAAATGCCACCAGTCATCAAGTGAGTTTTCTTTTGGTCCAGCATTACATACGAAGATGAAACTAAAGCATATTAAGTAAATCATCTGCAATTGATCAAGCGGATCAAGAACGAAGTGCTCTTCACAATCTTAAAAAAATCAACTTACAACATTATTTTAATATATATATTTATTATGTATACAAGTATCATCAATATATTGCGACACATGAAAACAACCTAAAAAATCATTGTGAAACACCTATATGTGCTGTGCAGAACTACACAATTTCGTTCAGTACTTTACATCATTAAATCAGCTGCATGTTTCATTTCCAATACTTAATACAAATGATTGACACTGTATCAAAGCGTACCTGATGTCTTAACATGCTATACAATGTCTTAAAAATAACTAGTCATAATTGATAGTGAAACTCTGAGTACGTTGAATGTAAGCTCCACAGACATCGATAGCAGTTATCATAGCATAGATATATTCAGCTTGTCTCGAGTTCAGCTGAATGACAATTTCTTCCTTCTTTGTCAACATTCTGTCGACAATATCAGCTCCTCCAAGCAATGTTCCTATGTGCACTTCATAGTCGAGGTCATTCCAAGGAGACATAAACATGTTCCTCCACGACACGGTCAGCTTGGTTTTGTTTTGTGAAAGGGATATGCGTCCCGAATCTGGAAATGAAATTCGAAACAGGATATATATCAATATTACTGAAACTTCATATAGCGCTAAACACAACCACAAAGAGAGTGCTCATTTATTGTGCCAAAGTTCATCAGATTTTATATTATATACTCTTTATTCTAATTTATCTGGGGATTTCGGACTTTGGGGACATCTATGTGTGCTGGCGATTTGTTGCCTGAGGGTGTGGGTTCGAATCTTTGGGTTGAGTCCGATCCGGGATTCGAACCCCCGCCCGCAGAGTCAGGCACCTAATCGCCATTACACAAAGTCTGCAGTCTAGACTACTAGTTGTCCGACTTCCATTTTTGTGGAAGCCGCGGTGGCTGAGCGGTCTAGGCGTCATTGTGTGCTGGCGATTAGGTGTCTGATTCTTAGAGTACGGGTTCGAATCCCGCATGGGACTCACCCCAAAAAGTACTAGAATTTGTACTTTACTAAGAAAGTGTAATCCTAAATATAAGATATGTTGCATTTGGGGATATCGTTCTCACCAATACATGTAGTTGTGGGTATAATTAACGCGGCACTTTCGGACTTCCTATCTTGTGCGACTCTTGTAACTGTTCCTATTTAGACAATCGCTCTCACATTTCCGTTTGATAACAATATCAAAATTAACATTATATATAATTGATTATCAATTCCATAAACAATGAGAATTCATAAGTTTACCTTCATGTATACTGATCATGAATGTTGGACATATGTAACCCACCGCTACATGACATGTCATGTTAGGACAGTGACTGGAGGCTGATTGTTTGACGTTATCAGTACTAACCAGATACAGTTGGTGGTTCATGACGAACTGTAAAGTACGAAGTTGATTTCTCTCCAGTCGTCCCAAACACGTCAACAGGAACGACACAGACGTTGTATGTCGAGCCAATCTCCAAGTTTACATCGGAAAATGTAGCATATGTGTAATGCATGTAGTTTGGAATATCACCCTGGTAGGTACGCAGTTTACCCTCAACTGAAACCTATAAATATAACGAGATATATAACAAAGGCAACTGACAACCACCAAAACGTTTATCAACAAACCTAATCCAGTTGTGTTTATCCATCATCGTAACATTGCGCACTTTTCGGATCACCCTTCACCGCTGGGTGAATTGGCCTTCAGTAGCCAAGGATTGTCGAAAGAGTCGACCTATCGGATCGGGTGGTCAGCCTCATGTCATGATACATGTCACCGTATTCTAATTGTGTAGACGGATGTTCATGATGTTGAACACTGGATTGTCTGGTCCAGACTCGGTTATTTGCAGACCACCGTCATATAGCTGCAATATTTCCGAGTGTGGTGTTAAACAACAACATCACTTGTACCACCATTAGCGTAGATCTTACACATGTCGAGGACTAAGGTACAGTAAGCCACTTACCACTGTGGACCTCAGCTGTCGGTCGGCCTGGCTCCAGTGGAGCCTGACTGTGTTCTGGTCCTGATGACACATCCCTCTGTCAGAGGAGATGGATTCAGTCTGGGTCCCACTCAAGACACTCAATTCTTCTAGTGATATCTTGTTAATTTCTCTGACAATTTCAACCCCGTCCGTCGTCGCAGCCACCACTAAGCCTGCCTTGTTGAAACATCGTATTGTTGTGTAAACTGTTATTGATGAGGTGTTGAATGCATCACTAATGTCCATCACAGCTGTGGACTCTCCTGTGGGCACTGTGCGGAATGTCATGATGTCGTCGCTTCGTCTGCGTCTTCCTGTTTGAGGAACAACAGAACATCAAGATGAAACGTGTGTAGATAGATAGATAGATAGATAGATAGATAGATAGATAGATAGATAGATAGATAGATAGATAGATAGATAGATAGATAGATAGATAGATAGATAGATAGATAGATAGATAGATAACACAGGTTTTAACCGTGCATCACTCATAATATCGGCAAGTGCATTCACGTACCAATAGCCCAGTCACAGTGGTCGACACCAGACTCTTCATCCGTCACTTTCCAGTTGACGCTAACCACACTTGATGTTTGATGATCTTCATCTGGACCTAAACACAAAGAATGAACTTGAAAATACGTTTGGAGTAATGGTTCATGATTTTTAATGTAGGATCACACGTAAGTACATGTATATTTTTGTATTGCATAAAGGTTTAAGTTTAAAGTTCAAGCCGGCACAAGTTTTGTTTTGTTAGTTCTGTCTTCGGCTCTTAGATACACCTATGGGCATCGTAACATACGATCTTGCTGTTATCGGTAACTTGTGATTTGGAGTATTTGCCTTTACATTAAGTTACATTAGTTTCCATAAATTGTGTATGGTTGTGATATAGCTGGTAGACAACCAAATGCGTTGTGAAGCGGAACACAATCATCCATCCTACGACATGTACCTGGACCATCACCGATGTGACGGAAGATTGGCGGCGTCAGATCTACAATGATGGGTTGTCCATGGGAAACACTAGTCAGTCCAGCAGCATTCGTTGCTATAACAGTGATGTAAACTTTGGTGTTGTGGACCAACTTTAGACCAGAAATTACACCTTGACGCTTTCGGCCCACATTCGTATACTTCTGAAGTTGACTGCCACCTGGAACTGTCCCTGAAAATACGTCGAGGTGATGAAAGTAATTAACGCGCTACAGTGGACAGTGACTGTGACTCTGCATTGCGAATTGTATGTCACTTTACAGGAGCGTGAGTCCTTGATACGTGCCTCACTACAGAGTATTTTATGATACATAGTGTTACCCTCAAGTGATAAAATGCTTATAACTCAGTACATTATCACTAGAAACTGAATGTAATAATTGGGTTCATCATATTTATCTTAGCAAGTGTCAGCAATATTTTAGGAAAAATTAAATCATGAGACAGATCGAATCTGTGCACGTTGTTCTAACACTATGAGTGTGAAGGTTAACGTACCAATCGCCCATTTGTACTGTGTAATTGGAGATTGCAGGTCCTCAAAGTGCCAGGAAGCATGTAGAGATGACCAGTGTGACAGGAACACAGAGTGGACCACCAGATGCTCCTCTGTGTCCACACTGTCCGGACCAGCAACATAGTCCACGGTCTGGACACTTACATGGTCCAGTACAAACTCCATCATCCTTGACGATGACGATATCTTCAGCACCATGCTGGTATCTACGGCTGTGAACCTGTATGTGTGTTTGTTCCAGAGGACGACTGAGTGATCTCCGACACTGCAGGTGCCTCTACAGAGGTTAGGGTCAAGGGTAAAGCTGAAGACTTCACTTCCTATTGTAACTATTGCATCAACTGATCTGTGGGTGTTGGAAACAGTCTCTGGGTATCCAGCATGCAGAGTCAGCTTGTACTCCCTCCCAACCTCAAGGCCTGAGATCGTTTGTTGGATGCTTCCACTTACGGACACAAACTTATGTCCATCTTTAGCTAAAGGCGAATCCGGCGCCTGAACCTTGATACACGACGCCGTGTCACTTTCCCATGATGTTGGTATGACAAGGCTGCATTTCGTTGAACCAGCTATTTTGTCTACCTCGAAAGATGGGTTCATCACCAGATTGTTTCCAAGATATGCTACATCCTTAGGTTCAGGGGGTGATGTGTCGATGACAACTCCATCAGATACAGCTACGTCAGAAGCATGACCAACCGCGTCTATAGCATACACTTTGTTCCATAATGTACCTGTAAACATCGTCAGTATATTTAAGAAATGTGAAGATATGTATCACTATATCCTGACTCTACATTTTAATGTAATATATGGTATATTTACCAGCAGACAATGGAGTTGGAAGTGATCTACTGAAAGATGTGTGCAGTCCAAAATCCAACCAGCCCATCACACTGCAATCTGATGTGTCGTTGATTGTCCCCACACACCAGAAATACTTGGCTATGGTGTAGTATGTGTCCGAGAAGCCGTACCAGGAGGCAGAGATTTCGGATGTTGAACTCTGGTAGTCCTGGTCGTGGAGGTCTGCAGATGTAAAAGATATAGTCTTGCAATAGTCCCGCAAGCTGAAATCATGGATCACATACCGATGTACAATGCATCATTAATGTTGAAAGTATCTACTGTTTTCATTTTTGTATTGGTCTTCTCCATCACTGACTGTTAATTTTGCAGCATAGTACCTGCTCCATCCTTCACTCTCCCTGCCACCGGAGGCATGACGTCCACCTGTACTCCATCAGAGTAGGCCCAGCTGACCAGACCAGCCTTGTTATAAGCCAGGACACTGCAGTAGTAGACGGTGTTTGGACGTAAATTCAGACCTGTCGCTGTATAGCTGGTGGAGGTCAGGTCCCCTGATTCGTGGATACTGTGACCTGAGAGTTAAACCATTAAATCACAGACCTACAGTAGTAAGAATAACAGTAGCACTATTTGAATCGTTGCTTGCATACAAAGTAATCATGTCTAATCAGGAACCTCAGGGCGACTGTTAGTTTGACACTAATCTGACAAATCCATAGGCGACAGAATATGCTATTAATCGACGAGTACGATATCGATGCATGTAATATATAAAAGGGTACAGGCATTTTCTATTTACAGTTGAAGAGTTGTTGAATACCTGTTTTCTATTCCTTAACATACTCACTACAGAACAAGTTTGTGTGTACCTATACACGTCAATAACCCTATGATCGCGAGCAGCATCCATACGTCCATATGTGTGTGTGCATATGTGTCTGCACATGTGCGTGTATGTGCATGTATGTGTGCAAGTGCGCGTGTGTGTTTCCAGGCATAAGACATGTCAGTGTGTATAATCAATTGGGGCTAATAGCACTTTCAGCACCACAGAACATCTTCACTCCATCATTTATCCAGGTGTTGGGACGCGGATACTGATGAGGGCTGAGAGCTCTCGCATATAGACAAGCTAATGATAATCAGTTAAACCTAATACCTCCTCTGTGCGTGCTGATGTAGACCCTGTATCGATGGATGCTGCTTATACCAGGCAGGAAATGTCCAGACCACGTGACGTCAAGTGTGCTGTTCTGTGTCTGGAAGTCTCTGTCTTTGGAGTCCTCAACGTCTCGGAGTTCCGTCACCTGTGTCAGCATTTGTTTCGGTCAGACATGTGAAAATAATAAACGGAACGGTATAAATGCACTCAAGAAAGGCTCAGAGAAAACTGGTATTCAAGATGCACTTACAGTTCTTCCTGATTTGTTAGTAGTTACAGGAGGCGTTGTATCAAAGGTGACGCCATCTGACTTGAAGATGCTGTAAGTTACGTTATCATACCACGCCTTTACGAAAAAGGAGTAGTTTATTCCAGGTGTCAGAACCTTGTCTGAAATCAGAAATCAGCATGTACAAAAAAGCAAACTCAAGACCATATACAAGGGACTACGTTGTCATAGAAAAATGCTCCAATAAGAAGGTCGTATGGAATTTTGAAATACAAAACTATAGGGATGAAACAACCCTTGACAAAAGAGAAAGAACTAGAACATATAATGACCTGCTTCCAATGATATGACAGCTGATGTTTGTTGACCAGCGTCCATCCAAACCCTCCCAGTTGTTGTATTAAAAACTCCTTCTGGTTCATCTCCATCGCTCTCCCCTATACTGTATTCATAGCTGCAATATAACAGATATATGATCTTAAGTGACATAATTGACCGGGCAATTATATGATCTTTTCAACTGCCTTACTCATTATTCTGTTGAGATTAGGAAGTTATAATATCATTTTCCAAAGATTGATTTTTGTTGGATAGATGTTTCCAGAAAACCAATTGTTTGTTTACATGTGTTTAATTTTTTATTGAAGATAGCCAAAGGGTATGACCAAAGGTATATCGATGGTTTGTATCAGCCGGTAAAAATATTTGTTTACAAGCGCAAGACGTTTGGAACATGGAGATATTCCCAGGTCCTGTACTCTTTTGTTCATCACCTCATGTGTCTCTGTTTGTGTATTCCAGATGATCGGTATATAACACAAATACAAGTTTGATGCAAATATGTATTCTGGTGAATACTGAATTATGACGTCAGTATCTGATATAGCCATACCGTGTTACTTGGAGACCGGGCGTAACAGACCAGATTGCCGCTATGTAGGTGTTGAAAGGAGAAACATCAACGTCAGCAACGTCAGGTGTTAACGAGAGGTCGATAGTGTCGACGACAGTGATAGATGTGGCTCCTGTAAACAATTTGCACTGGATGACATGGACAAATAACAAACAATGACACAAAGGATGAACACACTCATTTAGGCTGTGTGATGTGTGGATAGATATATCAGCTATCGAACAGAGTTCTAAATAAGGGCATGGGTGGTCTACTTATTGGAGGGATGGGTGTGAACCCATGGTCATTGGTTCGAATCTGCTATTTTGTTTATATTCCGTGGTTTGTCCGCACCACACCTAGGTTCGTGGTGCGACCATTTCTAAAACACCAAAAGTCGTGATATGACGCGTACACTCACCTATTCATCGTTAACAGATGTTTGTGTGTTACATCGAAATATTATAAGACACAAAAGAAATATTAAGACCTAGTTGTTAACTAAGGTTTGTGCATAACTGACATCTGAATATAAGAAGACACACCTGTTGCTGATAATACACATGTGTCTTCAGGACAGGTACCTCCCTGCACAGCACAGACACAGTGTCCCGCACAGTTGTAGGCCTGGCACCTCCTCACCAGCCACAGTGTAGAGTCTGCCTCCAGGACCAGTTCAGCGTGGTAGGCATCACTCTGTAGGCCAACCTGCGAGTCACAACGAAACATTCTATTGACTGATCATCAATGTCAGCGACAGGCGATTCATGGTATAAAGACAGAAAAGGAGACATTCATTCATAATATCTACACACGTGAGTTACACACTAAAGTATGCTACGTACCCCATTCACTGCCCAGATAGCTACAAACACAGTCCCATCATGTGGCAGAGTCTTGGTGGGCACACTGAAGGTCTGGAGAACTCCCTCGTCACCCTTGTCAACTCCGGCTGCTTCGTGGGAGACCTCCGTTAGTCCACTGCCCTATTATAAATATGTGACTTATTTCAAGACTATTTCTGCAGGCGTTATTATTTTATCTTACAAATATGTGACTCATGTCAGGAATATTTAGGCCCGTGAAGGTCCGGGTTGGAATGATTCTTCAGTAACCCACGCTTGTCGCAAGAGGCGACTGACGGGATCGGGTGGTCAGCCTCGCTGGCTTGGTTGACCCATGTCATCGGTTTGCAGTTGTGCAGATCGATGCTCATGCTGTTGATCACTGGTTTGTCTGGTCCAGACTCGATTATTTACAGACCGCCGCCATATAGTACAACTAAACTCACTCACTCACTCAAGGATATTTATGTACACGTTATTATCATGTCAGTTATATGCTAGGAAATAGCATACATAATCAGTTGTCGTTTGTGACGCTTTATCACAACGTTGTTCACTTACTTTATTGTACTCAGTTCCGAATTCTCGAGACCCCACTGATACAAGATAATGTTGTATTCCAGAATGTAGGTCAGAGAAGCCAAGCCACGCTAGGTTTAGATTTGTACTGTTCCAAGTCATCCATCCAGTTTGATGTCGTGGAAGTTTCACTGCGTGGTCGGTTTCTATGGAGAAGGATCCTGCAGACGAACAACAGCAGTGTCATGTAATCTTTTCACATATTCATTCGATCGAAACAATCACCAAATTTCATTGTGTACAGCAACAGATTACCTGTTTTGGGTTTAGAGCTGTCAACCAAAATGTCCCCTGTAGCTGCTGATGTACAGAGGCCCGCCATGTTGCAAGCTGTGACCTTCACCTTGTATTTACTTCCATCATGCAAGTCCAGATTTGTGTATGTGTATTTTCGAATATAACCTGGAATCTGGGGACCAGTTGTGGATTTCGTTAAACATTGTGAAAACAATACTGTCGTGAATTGGCTCAGAGGACACTATTATAATAAATTAATTAATACAAATTACATAAAAATCGATAAGATAAAAGACAAACGCTGCCGTGCTTTTCATACATAAAAAATCTAATCGTTTTTATTCAACTTCGGATTGTCAATATTGAACCGTGATATTAACAATTGATATGGTGTACTCACAATGGCCACACAACTTAACTATGTATAAACATCAGTTACTAATGTATATGCATAGAGCTGGATAGTAGGGATCTGTTCATGAGCTGCCTTCGATAACTATTACAAGCAATAAACACTGATTATCAGCGTAGTTTCACACTGTTCATTTACAAGGAATAATCGCCAGGTATATTTTGACATGAATGATTCAAGCAGTTTCACTGTACTTTAAGATTAGAACTATCTATCTCTCCAAGCTGGTGAGATGATAAGGAGAGGTACTGGCGTTCTATGGAGGACTCAACGTCGTGGAACTTCCAGTGTAAACTCAGAGCTGTCCGACTGATTGTAGTGTTAGCAACAACGGAAGAAATCCCGTCTCTCGCCGTCGGTGTGGTCACAACAACAGGTCCGCTGTTGTCTATCGTAATTCCATTGGACGTCGTTTCCGAATGCAATCCTGTAGCGCGGATTAAAAAATCAATGGCATGTTAAAATTAACTATTGTGTACAGATATAACGTGTGTACAAGTGAGGAAATGGGTTCTTAAATCAAAATATACAGAATAGATCATGATAAGAACAATATGTATTGTACCTCCTTTGGTGAACGCTCGGACAGTACTGTAGATCATCTGCCCAACTGGCAGCTGTTGGTCACGTGGGAAGATGTGGAAGATGACCTCCTCCAGGGCTGCATTCCTGGCTGCCAGAATCTCATCACCTCCTGGTGTTGTTCCTACACGCCATTCATAGTGGTCTAAACCAGATTCAGGATCATGGAAGCCTCGCCATTTGCATCCCATAAATGTCCTGAAACAAGGGTTTAGGCAGGTAAAGTGGTTGAAAAACAATAAAGTTCACACAACATTTCCCTAATCAACATTACATTATTCAAGTATAACTGGAACATTAACCTCGTCGCCTGGAACTGTATATCCATGTCGCCTGTGCCATCCTGCACTGTTCCAGGAACTGGTGGAGAGCTGTCCAGGATCACACCGTCTGAGGTTGAGGAGCTGCTGCAGAGGCCTGCTGTGTTACAGGCTGTCACTGTGGTGAAGTACTTCACTCCTGGGGAGAGCAAGATGTGCTGGAGGCTGATATCTGAAACATATATGTATGGCATCATATAGGTTGTGAAGAGGTATAAATTACTGTGCGTTACAAACTTCCGTATTTTGTTTGATCGGCTGGTGAGATAATAAGCAGTGTCTGTATTGAAAAATAGATCTGAGGAGACAAGTATGTACTGGAGGTTGGTGTCTGAATCATTATATATTTTATATATGGAATTGTGTGCACATTCAAATGTTATATATTTCGCATCACGCCTCGGATATCTGCATTTTGTTTGATAGGCTGCTAAGACGATAATGAAAGCATATACTATCATCACATTTTGAAATATACACAAAGAACTTAGTTAAGCACCCCTGACTTATCTCCCGTCTGAATGAGACCCCATCTTAACCCGTTGGAGCATATCTGGGACATAACTGGTCGTCGTGTGCAACAAAGGCATTCTCCTGTACAGCACCTGGCCCAATTGGAAGCTGTTTTGCATGAGGAATGGCGAAGACTGCCCCTTCAGAGGATCAGGAGGCTGACAGAAGGTATGAGGAGGAGTGTGGTGACTGTCATAAAGTCACACGGACGTTACATGGCATTCATGACATACATCAAAATGACATTTTGAGTGTTCACATTTACAAATAAATTCGACATTAAGCATTCCAGGGCTATACTTGTACAGATATGACTGTGTATGAAAAGCAGTGCTCTTTTTAATATGATCAATTTCATCATAAAATAAACATGCCAATAAGTTTGTCTTTTTCTATGAGTCAAAGGATCACTTGGGTCAGAAAATCTAATGTTTTTTATCATTGCAAATATACACGGGGTGCTTAATAAAGGTCTTAGTGTATATATGTGTGCTGCGAAGATCTATTTGCCAATAACTTAATATTTCATCAAGGACAATCCTTGACCTCTAACAATAACACAATAAAACTTTACTTTTTGAATTTCCAAACTCTATCTCTTCCAGTTTGTCGTCACACCCTTTGCAGGTCCCGACCTTGACCTTGTACATAGCGACACTTGAATGAGGCTCGTCGAAGGCTTCCCAGTAGGCTCCCATCTCTGAGGCACTGGTGATATAGTCCTTGTCTTTGTCATCGTGTGAGGCAGCTGACTGTACTCCGTCATAGACGTGGCCAGTTGATGGTGGCGTGGTGTCCACAACCAGAGGTCGTGATGAGGACAGTGTGTACAGACCTGCACCGTTGACGGCCTAAGCCAAATATATGTTTAAGGGTAAAAACATATGCATACAGTTCCATATCGTGAGTAGCAAACGTGACATCAACTATGAATGAATACGCAGAATATGTTTTTTCTTAAGCATGAAAAAATCACTAGGATAATATGTGGGAAGAGTAAAAACCGATCTGGTTTGAAAATCTGTGTAAATCTATTAATAGAGCTGTACCGTAGTGTAGAGACAGATAGATGCGCCTTATCGAAATACAAGTACTGCGCTCATATGTACCTTCACAGAAATATAGTATGAATGTCCATCCTCCACATTTGACGTATCAACCTCCAAGCAATCGTGGTCAGTGATCACGTTCTCTGACACGTCAGCATACGCAGGTCTGGTACCCATGGAAACCATGTATTCTCTAATTCCACTCTCCTCGTCTAAGAACACGTTGGTCCAGCTATAACAGACATCATTCAGAGTCATCTTGCACAGTATTGATAAGTTCCTAGTATGGTGTTCTACCTTCAGTTGTTGGCGATCTATAGCCCGTGTTTTATATTGTATTGTCTTCTTTGATTAAAATGTTTTAGATGTACATGCTAGTTTTATATTCATATCTGACCTACTCTAGTATTTTTACTGTCCATCGTTTACAGGTTTTTACTCTTCAATTTTTTTTCATTTTCATTGCATGAATTGTTTTCGTCACGATTTGGCTAAGATATTGCCGATGCGACGTTAAATATTAACTCACTCACCGAGTATTGATAACTACACAAAAATTAGATATGCCAGGTGAGGGCATTACCTACATTCTACAGACTCCAATTGAGTAACTGTATGTTAAAAATACATAGGGTGAATACATCACTAAGATCTCAATCAAGGGTATTTGCCTTCAGAACTAAAGGTACAAGAAGAATCTTGTGTTACATCATTTGATCATGACAGGTTTATATATCAATTCGATATTACCAGACATGCAGCACACGTGATGTGATGTAGCGTCCCTCCAGCTGTAGAAGCTGGCCAGTCAAGACTGGAGCTGTGGAGTCCACAAGGAAACCTTCTGACACAGCCACTGTTGTCATGTTGACGAAATCTGTGGCTAAAATGACAGCATCATGGGTAATATAGAGGAAAATAAGAACGAAAGAAAAACATTTTGAGCGCGAGCGTAATGAAAGTCCCATGTTTTTTTACATAGAGGAACCGGTTTGTCTCAGATTCACATCAACCATATATAGATGTTTAATGGGTCATTAATGTTTTCTTTATTATTTCTATTTCTATGTCGTTATACCTTTCACTGAGGCATAGTATGTATTTCCAGTATGTAGATGAAGACTATGGAGCGTGTAATGGTCGACAGATCCAACATTGGTGAACTTGACCACATCTTGTCCCCCAGAAACAGATCCTAGAGAAGAAACATTCATGGTTGGCCATTGTCTTCGATTTACTATTTACTATCATTCAGTCTGATGTAATTAAAGAATTATTCCGATGTACATGCAGCAGGACACACGCACGTTGTTGAGAGAATCGACTGAACATTATTTTAGTTAAAGTAAGCTATGTGGTTCTTCGTACCTAGGGCTACCTCATAATGTGAAATGCCACTCAGATGAAGCATCTGTATCTCTTCTTCGATGTCAGTGAAGTCTGTCCATTTCAGGGAAACCTCTGTTCTGCTAATCTGAAAGACGTGATAGGGGTTTGGCTATGATTTTGTTCTTAGACTTTGTTATAGAGAACCTACCAAGAGTAGGTGTTCAAAGTGAATGCCAATGTTGTGGAATCTGTCTGTCTCACAGCGATATACCAGTACCTGAAAAAATCCGTCTGTGAGTCCTTCGATGTTCACCGTCCCTGGTGTCGGTGGCGTGAGGTCGACTGCGATGCCATCACTACAGACGTTCACTTCAGCCAGCTGGGTCGTCCACTTCTCGAACGCTGTATTCTTCTCATCAGCGTGGATGCACACATAAAATCTCCTGCCATGATGTAGGTATTCCTCTTGGGTGAATTCTACGTTGAGGAACTCGTGAACTGATAAGTACGAAAAGATTGCAGTTGAGCCATACTCGCTTTAGAAGACAATCGCATTGCTAGGTGTAGATTTAACAGCATTCTTTTCAAAACAGATAGTTCTATTTTTTAGATTGAGAACCGGTAAGCTTAAACATACCTATATTCCTTACATTCTACCATTTAGGCAAACGCGTAAGTGTTATCACATGTATATATTATAGATGCCGCATGAATCCAATGTTGAGTGTGTTTTTAATGTAGTCATCCTTTAAACAAAATATCCCGTATTACACCCTCAAGCAATGGCCTTACACTTCAGGTAATACCTTATTCGAACGTGTAATTATCACTGAAAACATGGTAGACAGCTACTTCGTAAGCTAACAATTGGACATCCCTACAGAAGCAACACACTTCCAACGTGTTTGTTCAAATGTAAATCACGCCATATCGGCAAATATAATGTTACCGTTATGTAAAAACTGCCGATTTTCGTGTTCTCGATTGATCATAAATTTAAAACACACTTTACAGATTTCTATTGCGTTTTCTGTACAAGATTTATTGCCGCATGCATTCCCAATGCATATGTTAGAAACTGCAACTTTGCGTTGTGTCCCCAGCAAAAATAACAGTAAAGGTCACCTGTTCAGAAGCGTGTTATTGCGATTATTTGATAACCACTTATTTGACTGAACAATCTGAGTCGAGTGATTTGTAAATTCACGATAGCACTGCATTTCAAATAATAATGATATTTTAAAAAGATTTTAATTTTCAACGTTGTATTTATGTGTGTACATATATATTACCAATGTGTCCACACTTGATGACATCGGGCACGTTACAGGGGTCACTGACGGTCATCAGAGTCTCTCTCTTGTAGTGAGATGAGGGGACTAACTGGTCACCTGCCACCACTGCCCACGTGTAGTTCCTGTGACGTAGAGTCGGCCACACAGCAGACAGGATGTTCTTGTAGGGAGTGTAGTCAGCATCATCGTGTTTCCAGTGACTGTTCTGATCTAAACTGATGCTATATCCCAGGTGTGGTCCTTTGGCTGTGCCTGAAATCACAACGTCTTGTATCAGTTGCATGTGTTCCAGTGTTTACAATAGTTTCTAAAATCTCTTTGATTCAGACAGTGACACTCAAGAACAACGAATATATACACGGAATTTGAAATCTGTTGTAAGGTTACTTTCATACAAACATGGATTTCTTAAAGGTCGCATGCAACGTAAAACACAACTTTGCAGATTCTGATACCTTTCGGTATGGACTTACCGAAACAAATCGTCAAAAATACAAATTCAACATATAAAGTTGAAAATAACGCGATGTAAAACAAAAGCGTGAAATCTAAGTTCAAACGTTTCACTAATTTTCCCCAGACTTTTCTGGGGAAAACGGGTTTCAACAGCTGGGCTGCGCTTTTAGCACGTGCCCAGTGAAGTAGGTTCGCGCAGCTTGGAAGCGGTTGTCCGGTGAATACTCGGTGAAGGCTTTGGTGTGAGCTATTTTTCTAATGTTTTGTTGATATCTCACAGTCGCGAGCTTTTTATATGTTATGACAGTAAATTAACTGTTTATATAATTTCATTTGTCTATTTCACCACACGTTCTTCTTACCGAGTCACTTTCTCAGTTCGATACTTAAACGCAATGCCATTATTTAGCGTTGACAGAATTTCCAACTGTGATATATATATGTCGTTGTCACAGACGAAACTCAATGTCTTGTTTTATTGACACCTGTGTGTCTGCCTGCCTGTCTGCTAATGACAATATTCAATACACAACTGCTATCACTGACCACATGCAATTTGAACTTAACACCAATCAGACTATACACCATAAACAAAATGCATTGATTTATGGCCCGAGTTCGGTCTCTGTCACATTATGTAATTACACAGACAGGCAGGTGTGATACTTGAACACATGACATGTTATGATGTCTGTTGATTGCAAAATGTTATACACAAAAAATGAGCATGTATTTACAAAACCCAACATCTCTATATGTACACACACAATCAGCCGTGAGAGCATCTGCAAATGAACCAGCCGTCCCGGCTGCTTCGTTTCTTGGGAAGTAAACCGAAGTACACAATATTGCACTATTGATTTGCGATTGTACGCTTATAATTTTGTTTATATGTTTTTTCATAACCAGCAATGTATATTATATGTCATGAATAAGTGATAATTGTGTTGTAATTATGTTTGATGTTTTGGTTGCATGTGACCTTAAAGCATATAAATGTGAGAATAATATCCTTTATACTTGTTTCATGGTTGAAATGTGAGTAGAATGTAATGTTAAATACATGGGTTAAACCATTGTGAGTAGGACTAGACTTTCCACTGATGTGGAAATCTAAAAAACTACAAAAAACATTGTTGTTGTGTTTTGTATTGACCAGTTGTTTACTTTGTGTTTGTGTCTTCTTCAGCATTTACTCACCAACAACATCTACCACGACTGCAGGCACAACGTTACGTGGGTCATAGGCATTACAGTCTTTGACATCTGCTGAAGTTGCCGAATACATGCCAACTACATTGTAACCCCTGACCGTCAGTCTTCTGCACTTGGTAAAGTCGAGCTGCTTCGGAAGAAATATCTGAAAACGTGTCTGGAAACAAAAACTACCATTATTCGTCAGCAAAGGAAACACACACAATAGCTCTATGACATTTGCAATAGTGCGATAAATGAGGAAAGGGTAATGATAACTTATAACGAAATATTTTGTTCTTGTGTACCTCGTCTTTGATACTGACAATACTGTCAGCATCCACCTCTTGCCAGTTGATCAACATCTTGCTGTTGTGACTGTTATCTGTGAGACCCCATTCATATCTTGTCATGACGTCATAGGCTTCTGACAGAATCGGTATATCAGGATCACGGAACCGGGACATCTTAACTTGGATCTAGACACATATAGTTCTGTGTATTATTAAACATAATACACTATCGATTCTTTTTTCAACTCAACTCAACTAATAACATGCACACATATTATCAGCAGGCTTTGTCCATGCCTGAAGGTTTGTGTGCGATGTTAGGAAGACGGATGCAGTTTATGGCTACAGAATGGTAATGTGAGTAACTATGTATTATTAAGACGTATTTGTAATGACATCGCAGGTTCCGTACAAATGGCTAAAACGTGAGTTGTTGGCAGAGTCGATAACGTTTATCTTATCTTATGGTTGTTGCATGTGTCTGACAATTGTTTGATGTTTGATTGTTTGAACATCACTCTTATGATGACGAAGTTGGTCATCCATATATGTTTTCCTCACTCAGAACTTACACATGCCTCCAAGAAAAGGAATTCAAAAAAATGTTTAAATATACCTGACTTCACATTGTATTTACTTTCAAACTTTTCATACGTTACCTGAGCCTGTCCCCCGTCAGATTCCTGGTATGTTAATGCCATGCTTCCAGCTGCTGGGGGATGGGGTATGATAGTCACACCGTCACTATGGGTGGGCTTGGTACAGACTTTACCAGCACAGAACTTGACTGCAGCCCTGAAGGTTCGTCCAGGTTCTAAAGCTAAGTCCCCAACTATGAGCCTCTCAGTCGACCCAAGGGTCTCGAAATCTCTCCAGGTGTTCCAGATATCTGTTTAGGTGCAAATACAACATGTGACGATATAATATGATACAATAATAACTGTCCATAAAATAACTTAACTAGAAAATCAAATCAGCAAACAATTCGTGAATCCTATTTCATATGTTATTATCCTCGAACATTTTTGTTTCAATACTGACACCTTGTTTGATATTTTGATAACTTTTAATCAAAAAAGAATTATTAAGAGCATTTTCCTTCACAAATGTACTTTGTGATATAAAATACACACAAATATTTGGAAGCTATATTTCAAGTTCTCATTTACCTGAATTGGGTAATTGTGCTTGCAGCCCCCAGTGTACATCCGGGTAGCCCAGAGTAGTGCTGGTATTCCTGATCCAGTGGGCTGCATATGTTGAAGTAGAGGCTTGAAATTGCAGATCACGAGAACAATCCTGGAAGTTGATTAAGGGTAAAGGTTGATGGTTATCTACACTTCAGTAAGTACAAGGGAATCAGTAGGTACAAACAGTGACTCTCTCCAGTGTTTCATCATTTCACACAAAGCTCTCTTTGCATGATAATCACATACATACCATCTTGATTGTCGCCGTGACATCATGACCTTGTTCTGAGAACAACACAAGACAAATCGTCAGTTACGTTCAACAAGAAAACAAAATCATTCCAAAAATAGAATAATCAGTTACTACGATGAAACACCGCTTATCTGCAAATCATATTTTCTCTAAAACTATAACCACAAACGTATGAAAATTATACTCTTATTGACTCGGGAGACACTCCAAAATCTGTTCGATGTAGATTCGATGACGATTCATCTTATATCAAGCTAAAAGTATTCTCAACACATATGTATATACCGTTGCTCTAACCATTTGGATTTTGTTAGCTACTTAATTCTTTGTAAGTAATTCTGGAAATATATAGTCATATCATGAAACTAGAGCCTCTTCAAGGATTGTCTTGTATACAATATGCACTGAGCAAAAGTCTTCTTATACCAGAATCCCTGCACCCTGGTCCATCTCTGATAGTGACATCTGTGACTGCAGCGTTTGGCCTGATGACCGTCACACCGTCAGAGGACACGGTCATCTCTCCTCCTCCAGTAACAGCCACGACAGTCACAAAATACTTCTGTGAACAGACAAAGATCAATACTTTGCACTGAAATATCAAGAATAATATGCTGTATAACATAACACGGTATTCAGACATATATATACTTGCAACATTGTGCGCTACAAACCTGGTTTTCTTGCAAATTCAGGCCAATAAACTCATGTTGCGAGACCTTGCCAACGTCTATGAAATTCCTGACGTCTGATGTACGAGGTTGAGATCCAATCCCGACTTTGTATGTTGCGGTCATAGACTCACTGACGAATCCATGCCATCTGGCCGTTAGGGAACCTGTTGAGATTTGCTGGTCTGTGTCCTGAATACCCTGCAAATAATTTACTCAATGTTCATGCGGTCCTGGTGATGCCTCGTCAAGTTAAAGGTGACAGTACACAAGAATGTACAGAAGCAGTACATACGAATATTCAATGCATTTCCGAAAATCATCACATTTAAGTTATATTGAATCATTAATACAGCAAATATAGTGAGTGAGTGAGTGAGTGAGTTAATATTTAACGTCACATTGGCAATTTTCAGCCATATCGTGGCAAGAACAAGATTTGACGTTGGTAAAATATGTATAGATGATAAAAACCTGTTGTCAAAAGACAGCAAAGCTGCTAGATGTCACTACTAGACTTAAGCTAGTATATGAAGTTAAAATTAACAGCACTATTTGTACAGTACACAATATAAAACAGGCTATAAAGGCCAACAACTGAAGGTAGATCGCCAAACAAGGGATCGTGGTCACCAGTGATGGCTTCTGTATGTTCACTTGATTAACACACAGGATATTAAAGAAAAGATGACCTCTTATTCTGAATCTTGGTTCCGGAACCAACAGATATACACGTACATCTATTTCGAGCAAAGATCCTTCTCCAGCTGGAATAACGTCTTCCACTACACCACGTAACGGCGACATGACGCCATGGACGTAGGGTTCAGACAGCGCTATTGTAGACAGTCCTACTATGTTGGTGACTCTGACTGACACAAAGTAGGTGTGGCTGTGATGGAGGTCCCAGTGGAGGCCTGTGAGGGCGACAGCTGTACACGTGGGTGGCGACATCAGAGTACAACCTCCTCCTGACTGCAGCCTCCTGAATGGGATTATTGTCGACTGACCGCCTAGAAGTTCAAGAATTGATTGAGGAATAGAAACAAAATGTGTTTACTTGTATTGGTTACATATAAACAACAATATATGCGCATAAGACAAACTGTTACACACACAGGCACAGACACAGACACACACACAAACACACAGAGACACACACACACACACACATCGATACTATACCCCACGACAGGGACGTACGGGTCTAATACATCGACATATGCTGAGCAGATGACAAAGTATACTTACTCACAGAGACTTCGTACTTGAGATACCGTAACACGGGATCTGTGAAGGCCTTATTCCATCGGGCAACCAGAACGTTACTTTCCAACATAACATTGATCGATCCAGAAAATCCAGGGTACAAGGTATGTACATTTACAGGGCCCACAACCTTAGAAATGAAAGAAAATTTATATCACAAAGCATAAGAATTGTCAAACTTGGATTTAACGTGTTACGTTTACTGTAAACTCAGCGAATGTCACTTTAACTCACTCACTCACTCAGTGAATGCCATACCTTTGAAGCTGAGATGCCAGCTTTGTTGATGGCCTTGATGGCGATGTAGAACTGTTGCCCCTCACTGAGACGGGGATGGTAGCCCTGATACTGAGGATGATGATGAGTGGACGTGTAGGGCAGGATATCTGGAGCTGCTTCACCAGAAGGATCTGACATCATCCCAAGCTCGTAGTCATAGATACCACTCTCAGTGTCACTGCCAGTCCAGTTTACGAAGAGCTGGCAATGGAAGGTGAGGACATGACACAACAAACTATATAAATATATACCAATGTAGACATCATACATTTCAAGTTTTTTTTAGCACTTTTCCACTTCATAAATACTGCTATGATATGCATGTCTTAATATAATTCAGTTTCTAGCATTCCTAGTTCATTGTGAGGTGTACTGCCACATTCAGCTAAAATCTCCATACCGGCTTGTGAACGAATATTTCTCTGTGGAGAATTAAACAACATAATAAATATGGTGCTGTCCCAATACCACGAACAGAACTAAGTTAATCCTCAAGCTCTATATAATGGCATTCCCCTTTAGTTTATTCACTCACGTGATGTTCCCTGCAGACGTATAGAGACGTGATGAAGGTGGGAGGCATACTGACTAGGGATCCACAACCATCGGTGCACATATGTATCCTACTTCCGTTGATGTAACGATGTATTGGAAACAAGGACAATCTCTCGTCATCTACTGGCGTGGCCATGGACCTGGATCCAATGTAAAATCCTCATAAGTACAATTTATGAAACATTCAATCAATCGTGTGTTAAAACACACAAATCCCAAACTTCGGATGATACTGATACTTCCGTCAATCAGTGACTGTATTGCTGAGAGTTATTGAGCTGAATTATATGAATCTTATATTTAACCCAATTACTCATATAAGTACTGACTGAAGCAGATGACAGTTAACTATGTTGATAAGCTATTTCTGTACCTGCAACTGTCATCTGGACTGACCACCTGGGCACGTCTCCTGTGGGCGTCGATGAACCACACAACGTTATCTGATGACTTGACCAGCCCCTCCATCACCCTGGAGTCTCTCACTGCCACCTCACTGACACTGGGTGGTGTTGTGTCTACAGTCACTCCGTCAGAACACACTGGGTCAGATGCTTCCAGTGCTCGGTTGAAGGCCACCACTGTCACGTGATACTTGCCGACAGTGGGCGCTGTCCAGGAGGCGGATGTGGAAAAGGGTTTCCGTGACCTGTATGTGAGTAAGATGATATTTAGGAAAATACATTTCACAAACAGACATACAGTGGATAACGTTTCATACAGTTTGCAGGAGAAAGTACATGCCTGTTGTGAAGGAACATCAGATCAAAAGCGTCGGCTCCGTGGCAGTGAGAGCTAAATATGTACTGATAGAACATGACCCCACTCTCTCTGTCAAAGAACCCGTCCCAGTGGACGTGGAGCTGTAGACTGTCCTGATAGTCCACTTCCGGGTGTCCAGACTGACCATCGTGGACAACGCCAGTATGAGGGAGGACTAATGTCTATTGTAACCTGCGAACGAATACAGTATCTATGTTACAGATTCACAAGTGTATGGCGATATATACAGATTTTGACATATATTTCCCCATTTATTATTGATATATTAATAATTTCATGAAGAAACGCATGCATGGTGAACAGATCACTGACTAAGGTCCACATACCCGCGCTACGTTAATGCTGTGTATGTTGTTATAGTATGGGGCATAGATCCGCTTTGTGGAACGGGTTACCAGGTTGTGGGTCAATTTCAGGTACGTACCTTAAAGTCCAGTTTGGTTGTTATCAATGCTTGATTTGTTACAGTGACCTCCACATAGTAGTCAGAATCGTGAACTCCGTTTCTTTGCTGTCGAAGTATTCCTCCATGAGAGTTATTGCTGTCCACCATAGCAGTTACAACATGGAAGTGACGGTGATAGCACCCGCTAAAGGGGGTACAATAGCAGCTTGGCCCCCGCGCATTGTCTTCGTACTTATCATTGCAATCCTCAATTGTCTGGAATGTATAAATAACTGCCTGGTAACAGCCAAAAACATCAATGTTTTCGGGCGAGTTTCGCTCGTTAGATAATGCAAAAGTTCAGGAATGTATTTGCGGGTCTGCTTGAAGATATTATTACATTTGCGAATGATACATTATTATATTCATACATTATATCTGTATTTCCAAAACCAAAACGTCATGTGGCTTTTCATAAATCACGGTACTGCGCTGAGGCCTACCCTACCATGCCACGATCGAAAAGCAGCACGGATATTGTCACCTTTTATAGTTATCACGTAGTTAACCAAACCAAATACTTCTTCAATGTTACCATATGGAATCTTAGAAAACTTACACTGTCTCATTTGGCAGTATATATGTGACATTATAGCATGTGTAAGCAAAATGTTGTTTTCAACAAACCATGAACTTGGTTTCATTTTAAATCTTATTGTAGTTTGTCATTATTATAGTTACCGCTATCCACTGTACATCGAATGGGTGTGACGTGCATCATGTCCTCAAAATTAGAATGGAAACATTCATTATGATAATTGACGCACATTTTAGTGAGAAAGTGGACAGTTGTCAGATGTGCACGAATATGAGTCATTCTTGTAAACAATGGTTATCAGCTCTCAACCATCAAGTGTTGACGAATATTCACAGTTTACTCACTATGGCTTCTCCTTGTGCCGTCATATGCCCTATTCCATGTACGATCTCCTGGTTGTGATACCTGTCCACTAGTCTCCAGGATACCGTCTCCAGACCGCTGTGCTCATCATACGCTACCCACTCTATCCTGGAATTGTACCGAAGCAGCAATTAATGAAACAAACAAACAAGAAGAGATTTAAGAACATGCGGAAGACATTGACTTACGTAATGTTTGTGAGTGTCTCTGCTCCATGTACACTGACGTTCAGTCTGTCTCCTTGGTTAGCCACAGGTTCTCTATGACTGGAGGTGATGTGTCGATATGGACTGTAACATTCTCTTCTTTCATTTCTGACATGATGTCATAGGCTCGAACCAGAAGCGTATAGTGTCCCCGTCCACTAGTGAGGGGTGTTATGGTCTGTGACTGATTCAGACCCTTGACTGGTGAACAGGTTATCAGGTGGTGGGCTGGTGATGGACGACCCTCCTTGGTGGTCGACTTTGTAAAAGGTGAGGAAACGAGTTATACCTGAATAGTAGACCAAATTATATGCATTATTACACGACTGCGTTTCCATAAATATGGAATATAAATTATATTGAATTCCTTTACATGACACGTCAACACACCTGTAAATGTTGGCTTATGCTGCGGTGACATATTCAGATACCCTGCAGGGGCCCGTTCCTCAAGAGCGATCGTAGTGCTACGACAGTCGTAAGTCTATGTTAAAAGTATGGGAGTTACAATCATCTTGGCGCTACGATCGCTTTGATGGACAGGACCCAGGCGTAATTTCATTCACTAAAGGAGATTCGGAAACCTTATTGGATATAATATTTGATCAACACCATTGCGTATTCACAGGATCGGCAATTGTCTTTGATGTGACAGATCATGCACGAAGAATTAACATCATTGACATGTTGGCTTATATGTACAAGCGAGGTCTTGTAATTCCGCGCTTCCGGTAATTCTGCGCAGCTGCAATTTGCGTTACCTATCGACATTAAACGGGACATTTCTAAAGGGGACTGGCTTTTAATCACGAAGGTAAAGTAAATGACAGTATTTGACAGATAGATTGACAGTTTATGAAAATGCGTTTTCTTCAGACCTTTAAACCTTTTTCTGCATTTTCATAATTGGATTTAATATGAAACACTCTTCCTTACATTGATGAAGTGATTTTTAAAATAATCTGGCCCTAATACACTCCCATACTTCGGATCTCTAGCTGGATGCTATGCGCATCAGTTGCTAAGCAGAATTACGGAGAGCAAGCGATGTCGTCAGAACGCTGTAAAGGTCAACCGTAAGGCATAATGCAACTTTAGAATCGTATGGTCGTCAATAAAACTTATATTTCTCTAGGTAAATATGATGCATACGAACATGTTTAGTCACGTAAACCACAAAATAAAGAGACCTTAGTTGCCGTGTTGTGATCGATGTGCTTAGGTGCCGGAATTACCTGACGGCATTGTTACATTCACAAGATCCTGAATGGGACATAGACATACCTTGAACATTATCGATGGCATCAACTGTTCTGTCACCTTCGTCGAATCATCATAGGGGGCTTCAACGTTAGTCACGGTGTCAATCTGGCCGAGCCACTTGTTGTGATCGTGTTTTGTGTTGATGTATCTGTTGGTCCAGTCTACCTGTCACTGCTGATGACGTCATTTGCCATGATGACGTTGCTGATGATGCTGTCGTCACGGAGAGAGTTGTATTTTCTTGTGTTGTTACAGTCGAAGAACTATCGTACATAAGGATCCGCCTGGCATTTCTATGATTACCTGCCTTGTCGCGAGACGGTTAGCTTTGATCTCGTAAGACGCCATCACTGGTTAACGTGTAGTTTTCAGACGACTGAAAGAAATCATTAACGAGATCTGGATATACATATGGTGTTGTGTAGTCCTCTGCATAGAGCTCAGGTCACTAATCAGTTGAAGTTAAGTAACGCTGGACGCGGGGAGTCATTGGATAGGTGACCGTGTTTGGCGAACGAGTCCTGATAGTTTCTAGGACTTCAGTTCTCTCCCCACCAACTAAGCACATGTGGTACATGTGGTCTCTCACCTGAGGCAAGTGATTTTTGTTCAATATTGCCACTGTTCCCCAGCGGAAAATGGGTACCAGATGGGATAACTCAGACTAAAATGACTATAACATTCTAGCGCCTACTAAGGCAGCAGGCTATTCCGGGTAATAATGTGCTGTGCTATTCATGGCTAGCACCATGAACATACTTGTTGTGGAATTTGGCGCTATGTAAATGGAACATTACATATAAAGGACGTTAAGATATTTTTAACGGTTTTGACAGTTTCGAGGAATCGTGACGAGAATGTATATACTGACTTAGGGCATTTAATCAAAAAGATAAACCTCCTCGGTAATGAAGTTAAACATTTTATGGATTTCAACCTCTGGTCCTTGGCAGTTCGTTGGCGTTACGATGAGGGTTCTTACATTTATCAGATTAGAGTGATAACGGTGCAGAATATATACACCACGAAACATGTTAAAAACATAAGTTGTTACCTCTAAAGCGGTATGTTGACTCACTTCAGAATATCAATCCAAGGTTCAAAAGCCAAATTTACGATTCATTACAGAATGGGTCCACAACATCTCTATATGAGACACGAGTGCCTTTTATTATTAGGGTCAGTGGCGTTAAGAATAGGGGACTATATTACATTAATTATTCCCAACCTAGACTCCTTTTCCGATCAAGCCCTCTTTGAACTCTTTGGATGATACCCCATTTCTCATCTCATTATAAAACAAAACTGGCATCCATACATTTACCATTAGAGTGAACAGATGAAACATAACACAAGTTTTGATCCATCCATCAATGTTTAACGAATTGTGTCAATCAGATTCCTTGGTAATAAATAGAAATTATTGTAAAACATCAAATTTAGGACGGGAAAGCCGAGAGTTTAAAACTCCGGGTAAATCGGTTTGAGACAAAGTAACTCATTCGCGATCTAAATTTCAGTTTAGTTATTCTGATTAAATAAAGAAAACCAAACCGAGGGCGCCAATAGCACCGTAATAACCCGCTATGTTGTAAAATGTCTTTATTCCTATGATTTCTCTTATTCCCGACATAGGACTGGTATTTGAGCCCATTCAGTCTTGTATCGATTGATTTATCGATAGCTTTCATACATACATTTGTTATGTTAATAATCATTTCCTGCAAGCTGCATGGTACATACATACAAAATTATTATAGACTTGGGTTTCTGCTATGATTCCTAGAGAAATTTCCGAATTGACAGTTATGGACGATGGTGACAACATATATAGGGTAGACTAATGGGTACATTAGCGTGTCGTGTGTATTTTATTCCTTACTGTGTCCCTAAAATGTCAGTATATCTATGGACACTAACACACGAACATGCGGCACAAACATCTGCGCACACAATTCTAAGGAACTATTTTCACTTATCAATGGAAATCCACGTTTGTAACAGGTAAAACAAATACTAACTGTCGATGCTGTTGAAATCCATATGTAAAACCCATCAGACCGTTTCACGGAGAACACCCCATCTTCTTGGAGTTCAGTCACTCCCTCTACAAAACCGAGTCAATGCCTGAGTCGGCATCTGACCAGCAACTCCACCGGAGTTCACTATTGGCTGAAAGACGTAATGCGTTTATCAACTGTAAACAATGATAAACTAACCAAAACAAGTTGTTTTCAAGCTTTCGGAAACAATTTATTTTTGTACAGATATCTTGACCAAAGCTTTGAAATAAACACACATGGCGCGAGACCATGGGTTCGACGGTGTTTAAAATATGAAATAGCTTGAGGTTAAATCGTTACATGCAGTGGTTTTGTCATCACCTGAAGGTAAGTATCGTTTGTTCTCAACTTTGCACGACACCCATTGGAACCAACAAACCAGTGGATGGCACTTTGCAGCCAGTATGTATTTAAAGAGGTCGTTTAACTCATTCCTGTTTGATTTCCAGGAGCTGTCAAAACACTGCGTCTATGTTTTATGGTGCCGCCAGATAATGTTGTTCTCAGGGTAGGAAAATTGTGTTCCTGACAATGTTAAAACACACGTTGCGATTGAACAGCTGCGGAGTCTACCTATTGTATTTTTTCTCGCATTTGATAGAGACGCTTGTCACAAACGTTTTCGAAAGAAACTATAACAGACTGGCACTACTTTTCCTTTGTCATGGATGTAGC